TATAAGTTGTTGGCGTCAAGTCAAATCACTTATCAATTTGTCAACTTTTAATCTGAGCGTGCATGGAACTACTTTCTTCACTCTTATAAGAAAAGTAATTACTCCTTACTTTGGACGTCATTACAACATATAATTCTATATTATAGTGATGGAAGAAGATGTAAGAGTTTTGCAATGTACAAATGATTCAATTAATACATTTTTTTTGTAATATCAATCCATTATCAAAGACAAGTCAAAGATGTGGTTGAATCAAATATGCACATCAATAAGTTTAGAGTCTACAAGTTATATCATCCTTGTGCTTTATAAATTGATTTTTTTTAAAAATAAAAATAATTATTGAAAACCCAAAGTTAGGCGTGGCTAAAATTTGCACTATAAAATGCATGCAGTTTGGGCCCCAAATTACAACTAAAAAAAAAAAAAAAAAAAAAAAAAAAAATTAATAATATCTTATCACATTCAAGGATATATTTGGTATTATTATAAAAATAAGGGATATATTTGTTATTATCAAGAATATGGAAATATTCTTAATATTTCAATATACTTGAGGGATATATATGATATTTTTTTAATTTTTAAAAAGGCTTCTTTTTACTCAAACTTTACAAATTATACTAAAATATTCTTAATAATTACAAGTTTTTAATTTAAAAATAAAAAAATGCTTCTAATTATTTTTTATGATTAGAAAAATAAAAAATTTATTCATAAATTTACTATGAATAATTTAGATCCAATTTAACAACTTAAACCACCAAAAGATAACAACAGCTTATGTGAAGCCTAAATAGTTTTTATTTTAAAATAATAATAAAAAAGTCTATTTTGTGAAAATATTCTATTTTAAAAAAAGAAATTTATGTCTAATTTAAAGATCTTAAGACACTATTTCTTCTTCAAGAATTTGCTTACAAATCATTTGAATACAAATAAATACATCCTCTATTATGAACAAAGAATAGATGAATACACAAAATGAGAGATTGAATACAAACAAGTATCTTCAAATACGAAAAGATGATATAGAAAGTCACATGCAACAAAATTGGGAAACAACTCAACAATAGCAATACTCTACTTTGCTATGCATATAAAACATGGATAGAAAAGAACCCTCTAAAAAGTCAAAATGATCAAAACTTTAAGTTGACATTTGAGAAACATAGAACATGATGGGTAGTGAAAGAAAATAACTTGTTTGTATACTGAATATACCAAATATATCCTTTGAAAGTGATGTGTGTGAAGGTGCGCAATGCATGATATTTGCCAAATATATCCTTGAATGTGATAAGATTCGCCTGGTCAGAGCTTCGCTTCGAGTTTACCTGAAGGGACATGAAAGCCCAGAACAGGAATCCAAGAGCCTCTGGAATGGATATCGATGCTGGAATTTGAGGACATGTGGGAGTTGGCTCACCAATGCATGCGTTATAGGTCAATTGCTGATGACTTCGCGCGCTAGAAGTGTCCTTCAAGGCTGGAGATGTCTGGATTCCGCGGGACACCTTGCAGGAGACTTTTCTTGCGGAACACGTTTTGGGCTTTGTGATTACGTTTCGGGAGTCTTGATATCATTACCGCCTCCATCTGTTTGTCAATTGCGGGATACCTGCATGGGTCAATCGCGGATCGTTTCCTAAAGATTTCACAGAAGGAGCAGACATATGATCTCGATTGCCTTGAGCTGCCCCCAAGCAATCGCCGCTGGAATTCGCCACTGAATCCGATTTGCTTGGCACCGACTACCCAACAAAAAAGAACACGTGAACGCAAACTTTGTGGGTCGAATCGTTTGTCACAGCCGAGCTTGCTGGAGGGGGCTAGCTGTCAGCCTGCACCAGTTAACAGCGATGTATCCTTCCAACTGATTCGGTATCTCATCCTATTGAGTTTCCCAAATTCTGCAAATTCTCGTCAATCGTCGTTGATTCTTTTTCTTTTTCGTTTCTGTTTTTGACATTTTTAACTGCGTCTTCATAGTAATTCTTTTGATCCACCGATCTCTTGCGAATTCAACATTAAAACTTCGATCAAAGCTGGCTTGAGAACAATGGTGATACTAGAGGATGACCTACTATTTTAATTATTGGTCTAAGTCCAAAAATAGCGCTAGTTCTAGAGCTTATCATTCAGCGTCAGTTTCACGACGTTTGCTTGTATTTCTGGTTTGCGTTGGGATGCTAACATTCGAACGCAGGGTGTTGGGTTGCATCCAGCGTGGTTCGGAAGGATCGCAAATGAGCTGGCTCTGTTCATCTGCAGTCAGGAATCTCCAAGGAGTTCATCCGCTTATGCAACACCCACCCGCCTGATAACTTTCTGGAAAATTTGTTCTCAGACGACCTCTTTCCTCTCTCATTAAGATGACATATTCATCCTCATAGTAACTTCGACAAAAAGTTGGCCAATGACGTGTCCGTTGACATGCTTAGCCAATGGCCTATCCTTCTATTACAAGTTGAACACCATTTCTGATTAATAATTGACGCTGAGGTAGTGATCAGTCAATGGAAGAGGCGGTTATCGCGAACAACAAGACCTTCACTTCGAGTTTGATCCACAAAAGTCCCAAGCAGTGATCAAAATTTCAAAGCCTTGCCCGATTACACAGTTGAAAGACCAAATTCAGGTTTACAATAAGACCATGAAAAGAAAGGAATGACAAGGATCATCCAAAAATGATTACAGAATAATGCTGGGGTCCAAGCACGAGCGAGGAACTTTGTCGTGGGCAGCGGAACTTGTATGAAAAATTAGAAAGGAACAGAAATCATGAGTTCAGGCCTCGGTCCCTTCGTCCTACTTTCTTCTGAAGGGCATCAAGACCTTAACTGAAATATCATGTCTAGAACACCGAACAATTGGACGCAAGTATCAAGGAGCAGTAAAGGAGCAACGACGGCAAATAAACCCTCGCCACATCAGAATCAATGGTTACACCAGCAACCATAAATAATTCGCCGAAAAGAACGACTGGAAAAGGAAAGACAAATAGAAGCCGAATCTGGACTTTTTGAAAAATAAAATAAAAAATACTTACACTCCAACTTGACCTAAACGGCATTTCGATCGAAAGCTACGCTTCTTCACAACACGTCGCATTATCGTGTGGGCCTTAATCCAAATTGGAGGACACAAAGCCCTCGTGTAGACACCCAAATGTGTGGTGGGTCCGGAGGTATAGTCAACAAAATCCAAGTCTTCTACGCCATCTGGTGGAGAGCAACTTTACTTGGTCAAATGGCACCGAACAGAATCGCTCCTGTTGGGAGCGCAGTTGCCAGCGACACCACACGTCTGAAAATAGTCAACTTCTATGTGGAAAATACCGCAGGACAACATGTGCCCGGAGATGAAATAGTTTCAAAATCGAGGAGAACGCATTACCGTACAGAATTTCTAACTTATCGTGAACCAAGTACAGAATACGTGACTAAAGTTGGAGCAGTTGATGCTGCGCGGAAAATGCACAAGTGCCGACCTCTGAGTCCAGCGAATCTGCCAAATCCACGTCTACGCCGCATCCAGGTAGCACTGTAAGAGTGTAGAAGCTGTAGGATGATCCACACGAGGAAATCGTCTGCTGGGTCAAATCTCTGCGAGCACACGCAGTCGCAAACAAAGCATGGGCTGGTTTGACCTACCCCTTCTCAGCGTGGCAGCAACCGCCTCGGCCCCGGCCCCAATCCCGGCAAAGGCCGTGGGCGATACAAGTTGCGAAAGCGGCTCCCGAACCCTCTCACACGGCATCCCCCCCCCCAGGACCCCGTAACCCTGTGACCCCCGGCTCCTTTTTGCTTTAAAGGTATCTGGTGCTCGTAAAACAACAAACGTAAATAAAAAAGTAAAAATTTCAGAAAAGTAGTAGAAACTTCGAGATTTCTTGTTGTCGGGATTCAGATTAATTGAGGTTTCTGACGTATGCATTACGTCTTGTGGGTCATTTCCGAACATTCTTCACCTTAAAAATATCATTTAGTAAACTTAAATGTATAAGGAACTGTGCTTTAAAGGGGACTTTGCTTCTGTTATTTGTTTGTTTGTTTGTTTGTTTGTTTGTTTTGTATTTTATTTAATTTAATTTTTGTTGTTGTTGTATTGTGTGTAGAATTTTATTCAAAATAAAAAATATCTCAAATGTCATATTTACTTTTTTCTTTTTCTTTTTTTAATGTCATAAGCTCTCTTAATTGGTCGTGTCTAAAAATGAAAAAAGAAAAAAAAACCACAATCATCAAAAATATGTTAACTGAAATTATTTCTGTTTACTCAAAATTAACCTTGAACCAACTTGATGAAGTATTCTTTAAGGTGAAATTAGTTTATATATATATATATATATATATATATATACATTTATATTTATTTATTTATCATTGAGTTATTAAACATTGACAGAATGTTCAAAGTTGAAACTGTTACGATTTTAACCAATCATTGAGGAAAACTACCATTCAAAAAGATGAAATGCTCATCAAAATAATATCCAAAAGTAACCATAAAAAAACACATCAACATCTTGACGAATAACAAAATAATGTCAACAATATTCAAAAAGCACACAGCTACCACTTTCACTAATCCATTGAACATGGAGATATTGATTAAAGCTCAAAAAAAAATCGAGTTGTATTTTAAATTCAGATAATCCAAATTACACAACCAGTACAAATTTTGAGTCCCATCCATGAACAATTTGTGAAAACTTTATGATATTTTCGTGCCATTTGGTACAGAAAGGGTGATTGCCTTTGCATTTGTAAAAGACGCATCAATACTTTTTCACAGTCAAAAGTGATCGATGTTAGCTTGACGTCACACTAATCCGAGGCTGCTCTTTGATAGCACATGGAGACATCCAGAAGAGCCCCGTTCTCTAAATTAAGTCGGAAGCAAGTCCAGTTCGGATTTTGACGTTTACTTCGGTAAACAGACAATCTGGCCATCCGTCTGCACATACATACTATAAATATGCCCATTCTCAAGGCCAAGTTTTCATTATCGTGCTTCTAAATTCACCGAACAACGGTGTGACCCGTGCTTCGGAATCCTCGGTATTGCCTCGGAAGTGTTAATCCGTCGTCGTCGTGGTTGTGTTCAGCTCAGAGCTGACAGATTTTAACGCGGCTATTTGCTTTTTGGGGCTTAAACCAGGTCGAGTGGTCCGCCACGATCAGCACCTATCCTAAAGCTTCCAGGTATTGAAATGCTATTTTTCATGTTCGTGTCTGTGTTGCGCTTTGTCGATCTTGAGTATGCCGACTACGTGAACTACGTGAACTACGTGAACCCTATAGACTAGTTCAGGTTTTGACTGGTAGCTAGCGATTTCAATTAGCTGGTCTTTTGAGTGGCGTAAGGTCTTGATTCTGGTATAAATGTGACGCTGAAACTGTGCGCGAGTGTGTTTTCTTCTGCTTTGTTGGTCGGAGGTGGATTGTGTTTGGTTGCTTATGGTTTTTGTGTTGCGGACATCACGTCGTGTAAGTATTAGTGAGTTTTGGATTAGTTTTGAAGACTTTAGGAAGTTTTCGAGTGTGCCGAGTAGTCTTGAGCGTTTTTTGAACGTGTTTGTTCTGTTGACAGAATGGGGGCGAATTTGCATCGCCGCCTTGTGGTGATGTTTGATGGCACATGGAATGAGAAGGATGATTGGACCAATGTCGCTCGTATGTACGAGGCTATCGATAATGGCCCAGTTGAAGACGGAGTCGAGCAGATTGTGAAATATTTTCCAGGTGTGGGAACGGCGTTTATAGGGAAGATACTTGGCGGTTCATTCGGTTATGGGTTGTCGGATATTATCAAACAGGGTTACCTATGGTGTTCTGAAAATTACAGGGATGGAGATGAAATTTTCGTATTTGGTTTTAGCCGCGGGGCGTATTCGGCCCGCAGTTTTGTGTCGATGTTGCACGAGGTGGGCGGTGTGTTGAAGAAACCTTCAGAAGGTCATGTCACCGAAGCCCTCGTAGAACAAGCTTACAAATTGTATCGCAACGACATGAAACCCAGTCATCCGGTGATGAAAGCATTTGCCAACGAGCACTGTTATCCTGTGAGAGTGAAGATGCTTGGTGTGTGGGATACGGTGGGAGCTCTAGGTGTTCCTGATTCAGCATTTAAGAGCAACACTTGGTATGGACCAGCCCTGAATCTGCTTAGCTTCACCCCTTTGTCCAGGAAAAACTATATGTTCCACGACCAGAACCTCTCGTGCATCGTGGATGAAGCGTACCATGCTCTGGCAATTGACGAACATCGCGAGGACTTCGCTCCAACGCTCTGGGATGCAATGAGAGAAGAGAACAAAGTCTTGGAGCAATGCTGGTTTGTCGGAAGCCACTGCAATTGCGGAGGTGGGATAGAAGGGGACGACCTCTGGCAGTTGGCTTACGAATGGATGCAAGAAAAGGCCATATCGAATGGTCTGCGCTACAAGTGGACTTACAAGGCCGGGGAACAGTGGCCTCATTGGCGCACACAGACGGAGGATTCTTTCCGAAACATGTTAGGGGGGGCGTATGCTTATTGGAAGGGGAAGGAATTTTCTCGCACCATCGGCCAATCTGTCGGAGAAACGCTGCACTGGTCTGTTGCGGCCAGGATCCAGAAGAATCCAAACTACCAACCCAAGGGGCTCAAGATTACTGACCCGATCACAAATGGCAAAAAGTGGCTCATTGAGTTGCCTTACAAGAAACCGCCAGTCAGTAAGTGTTCATGCCAGGAGGAAGAAACCACTCCTGTAGCGCTCCACTCAGAGTCTAGCTCCGATTCCGACAAAAAGAATTCATGAATTATGTAGGGCGAATATTTCGCCGCGGTAGATCTAGTGAGAAGGTAGACTTTCCCTTGTAGTTAGTGTTGCGTATAACGATTTCAATAAACTTTCAAAACGTCTGCATGTATCTGGTGCTCAATCTGCATCTAATATCTAAAAGCACTCTGCTATAGGGTACACAAACTCACACTATACCATTGCTCTCTAAAACGAATCTTTCTCTGAAAAGTAGCGAATCCAGACACAAATGCAGCGGCCTTCGAGTGCTGCGGGGTTGACGGCATCATCATGCGGTACTCATATCACGTGCAAAATGGGGTGTTGTCATAAGTGAACCTCTAACATAAGTTAGCTTCGTCACCTCATCTTAGATAGGCCAAGCAATGGTATTTAAAAGTTGAAATCTTATTAAATAATTAATGATGGTTAATTTAAATAAGATTTTTTGTTTATATTGTAAATGTTTTTGTAGTAGTATCTAATTATAAAAAATACTGAAAATACACTCCAATTATGTGTTTAAACATAAAAATTATAACATAATATTTGCAAAAATCTATGATCTATTAAACTACAAATATGTTTTCTTGGTAGTTTAGTAATTTATATCTTATTTTTTATTGTTTGAATTAATTTTATTTTATACAAATGTACATAATTTATGTCATTTTAAATTGGCATTAAATTAAGAGTTGCAAATGGCACCTTAATTTTTGTTATGGCCACTACTACTTCCATCCATCATATATTACTTGTGTGCAATATTTTTTAAACCAATCAAATTTTCTTCATTCAATACTTTTTAAATCATTTTGTTGAACATAATTCTTTATTGGAATAAAATAAAATTAAAAAAATACGTCAAGAAGATGGAAAATTGTAGTAGCAGTAGTAAAAATTATGGTAGCATTAGTAAAAATTGTGGTAGCATTAGTAATATCCTAAATTAAGTGTAGTCATGTCTAATAAAAAATAATTAAATATATATTATTTATTTAAGATACATGCATTTTCTAATCCTAATAAATAAATATATATATATATATATATTTAAAATATAGAATATTATATATATTTAAAATATAGAATATTATATATATTTATCATATTTAAAATATAGATTATTATATATATTTATCATATTTAAAATATAGATTATTATATATATTTATCATATTTAAAATATAGATTATTATATATATTTATCATATTTAAAATATAGATTATTAAATATATAAATTAAAATTATCTCAAATTTTATAATTGTGGGTTTCAAGCATGTTTTAAGGATTAAAGAATTATATTCAAAAAATAATATATGCAACCAATTAGAGTAAAGTGAAATTATTTTCATTTTAATGCCCCTCACCTAAGTATTGAGGGATTTCTCTCAACTTTTATTATTAACAATTTCTAGCTACATATGATGGCAACTCATATTAAGTTAATTCATATCATGTTGATTTAATTTTCCTCTTTTTCCACTTAGAAGTTCCATTCTCCAATAAAACACACTCTTATTGGTTTCATTCTTCAAACTATTTTCTCCTAAGTATTCTCTAAGCTTGATGCTACCATTAAGGAATGACTTTCCCCAAAATATCCTTGGATAGAGTTTCAAAAAAGATACCAAATAATATTTATAGTTTTCTAATTAATAAAAGTAAATCTTATCATTACTACCTTAGAGAAACAAATGCAATGAGAATGAAGTGCTAAACGATTCCAGCAACTCGAATCTCTTTTTCTTGCATATTGGCTTTTCTATAATATCTTATTACAACACCAATTCTATGAGTTTAATTACTTAACAATGACATGTAAGACTCATTAAACAAGATGCGGAGAGAATTAGAATAAAACTTTACACGCTGTACCCCTTACAATAGATGTTGGGTTTTTCTAAGTTTCTAAATGTACCAAAGAATCACATGCATTCTCTACACTTTTTCAAGTAATGAAAGTAAATTCTTAGGAAATTTCATTGCACGCACACTTGTTCTTGACATATTAAGTAGAAGATAATGCGTGCAAATATAGGCTCAGAAGCAAGACTTGAGGATACAAAGCATTGTAGATATATGCGCCACTGTCTGCATACCACTCACCAATAATGCTATAATGAATGTCACCACAAAAAACTTATAAAGCCGCTAAAACTATCATTCCCTAAATGTGATTTAGGGCGAAACAGGTCAGTTCAGTGCCTGTTTCGTTTGAAGAAGATAAAGTTGAAACAAAGTAGAAACTACAATCTCTCGAAGTTTCACATCATTCACTCCAGCTCCTTCGCAAAGTCCGCATTGTCGACAAAAACCTGAAGGATCCATTCACAGCTAATGAGATATGCGGAACCTAAAAACGGAAATGAGCTATTTCATGAGAATTGAATTTGAGAAACAAAACATGTGTTTGTCCGAGAAAAAGAAAACACGATCATCAGTTTATTTGCATCGGTACGACCGAGAAATTTAAAGAGCAAACGCAGCTACTCACACTTTTCCAGCCGTCAGGATCTAGGATAGCTGTAATTTTGGTGTTGAGGCCGGGAAGAGGACCAGGCTCACGAACTATTTCCCCTCCGAAGAGCTTCACAGCCTCTGCAGTCTTATACACATCGTTTGTACCTATAGCAATCTGGAAGCACAAATTAGGCGTGTGTCAGAAATAGTGGAATTATGAGCTTACTGCAGTTGCTGATCCACATGCCTCGACAACAGACTTGTCAACAGGGGAGGCATATCTATTTATTTGAATGGTCTTCAGAAAGAGTGTACCTGACCATAACCATCACCCTTGGTGTATTCTGTTATGCCGTAGTTATATGTCAACTCCAAGACAGTTGTTTTCATCTCATCATCACCATAGCCCAGCTTTGCAAGTGTGTACTATGAAACCAGCCAAGAACTATCGTAATGTGAGAACAAGTTACAAAAAGAATATACAAATGTAGAAAAAACTAGTGAAGATCTGCATGCCATGTCATTCAAATGACTACAGAGAAAGTGTTGTAGTTTACCATCTGTTCGGGATTATCCCTTCTGCTCAATTCTTTCATTCCAAAGGCCTGGATAGTAAATGAAATCGACATCTTAAGTACGAATAAAGAGAAAACCAAAAAAATGGCAATGATACTTCCAGTTAATACCCTCATGTCCAAACAATCAGCATTATATGGAAATTTTTCTTACATATATCGTAGCAAATACCAAAGCACGTCATCATCTAGATTTTGACAATAGAGTATAGTCCTAAACACAAATGTACATGATGCACCGAAAAAGAACAGTAGAATGAGATTAGTACCTTCTTATAGAACTGAACTGCACGGTCTAGGTCACCAACACGAAGCATGACCTGGCAAAATGGCTCGATTTTTGCGGTTCTTTGGATAAGTTCAAATGAATAACCATCACTGTCCTCAACAAATGCAATGATTGAATTGCCACCTTTTACAGGTCCAGGTTCTCTTGTGACTTTTCCACCCTTTGCCTTAACCAAGTCACAGACCTTCTGAACCTGCAAGAGAACAAGCAGAGTCAAACAATACAAGTAATTTATCTACATCAGCTCAAAGCAAAATACATTTCCCTCCAAATGAAGCATGCTATCAAATTGAAAGAACTGAATATGAGAGAACTACCTTCCTTCAACAAATGTCTTCCATTTTATGCTCCAAGAGATAACAAAACAATTATAAGAATAATTAATTCGATTTTCAGAGCATTCAAAGAGTCTAGTTAGCTTTTAATCACTGAATACAAACAAGTTGAACTTACATCATCAACGGCAATTCCGAAGTGCCCAAATCCTGTGCCAATATCGTACTTGTCCACTCCGTAATCTGCCAAGCGATACTAAAATCCGACTTAGAGGTGTGAAGCCTCCAAATAATAGACCTTACAAGGCTTGAAACGAAGGCTGATTGTAATAGATGTTGATGAATTACATGGAACACTTAAAATTGAAGCTTAGTGTGAATTAGGAAGAGTTGATAACAAATCAATTTTACAAATTTGGTAGAAGTCATATGGTACATCTGTTGCTAAATGATTCTTTAATGTCGTGGAGATAACTAACATATCACACTTACTATATGTCAATTCCACCGCGAAGTTGGTCTCTTCAGGACCATAACCCAAAAACGCGTTTGTGTACTTATCTTCAGGAATGTCCCTTCTCCTCAGAACCTTCATCCCCAAACACTCTGTATAAAACCTGCACATAAACATAAATTGAGCACAACCGGTGAAAAAAACACCGCCTTGAGTACTTCGTGCAAACTCAATGATAGAAATCACAAATAGTAACAATTTCCAAGGATTAATTTTATCATCAATCATATTGTAACCATCAACTGAGAAGGAAACAAAAGCGCACAGTACTTGATAGTTTTGTCAATATCACCAACACGATACACTACATGAAGCATGCGGCGATTGTCGTTCTTGACAAATTGCAGGATATTCTCTTCGTGCGTTGTTGATGCAGCTAAAGCAGCAGATGCCTGAGTGCCTGAATCTCTGGATTGTGACACTTGAGTTGATCCAATAACACCTGGGATCCCCGTACCTGGAGACTTGCATTAAGATCCACAATTAAAAATTGTAATATCATATTGTTTATAGCTCTAAAGAAAGTTGTCACTCCTATTCATTACAAATAGTGATAAAGTTCAGCTCAAAGACGAGAGAAAATTAACCATTAGAACAAAAACACACCAACCAGGTGGACTGCAAGCGTACGAAGCAAGCAAAATTTCAGGGCAATTGTTGACTTATCCTTAAACATGAGATTGATAGATAAACTCAGGTCTTGCTACGTTTGAATTAAACAAACAGAGACAAGGACGCTTAACATATATGCATGTCAAAGATTCTGTCATGTTTCTACTCCTTAAAAAAATGCACTCTTCATTTCCAAATACCGGATGGCTATTGGAAGACATACTAAAAATATAATAACATATTTACCCTCTACATTCTCCGTAAGTACACAATGTGGTAGGGAATAGTAATCCTTTAAATTTCATCAATCAAAATTCAGGTTATTAAATCAAGAACCCTGCAAATGGCCCCATAAGTGAGTGTTGGGAGGACTTCGATTCTTACCAGCCAAAAGGTCCATCGGCAAAAACGAAAATGATGCGCCAGCTAAGGCCAGAAAATTTATCAGCCTCCTTTGCACGATTTCCACTGGTGACTTACTTGATGCTTGAATTAGATGGAGCCGCCTCCGCGTGCATTTCTGATTCCCATTTCCACCATCTACAGTTTTCGACCATGGCCCACTTTTAATCTAGATTACCAAGGAAAGAAAGGAGATGCAAGTTCCTCATAAACTCTTTAAAAATAAATCGCCATTCGGAACAAACTTCTGCTAAAATTGATTGTGTATGAAATCATTAAAACGCCACAGCTGCAGTACGTTTGTCAGTCACGCAAGCATGTTACAATATGAAAAGTTGTTATGGTTAAACTCAATAACGAAATTGCACAGAACCCAAAAGCAGAAGCATGTTCCAAGAAAATGCAAATGAAATAAAAAATTAGCAAGGATCGCCAGATCACAATACAAGCCAGCACTTTCTATTCAAATAAATCCATCAACATGTACAATATTTACCGCAGAAAGCATAACCAAAATCCTATTAGAAAATACGCGCACATGCACACTTCAGGAACCTAACTTATTCCAACCAGAAATATGTAACTCACTGAAAATACTCTCAACACCAAAAAGCATGGCCTATGTCACAATAAAGCTTTGCAGAACACGATGTTGATTGAAAGTAAAAGAAACATTTGAGTAGCGTAAACAAACTCTATTGCATGACCCAGCCCAACAACCAAACATAAGGTTTCGTTTTTTAAAGACATCAGCAACATCCAAAACACTAAACTGTCTTCCTTTCTAGAGAGCCGACGTTAAACGTTGTATCACACGACCAAGAAAATTAATTGTCCAAGATTTAATTTAAAAGGTGCAGGAAACAGTGGTAACAGTCTTCACACAACCATTAGTTACGTCTGACTTCACAGAGTTCCTGGGTCCTCTAACATGTCAATGCAGAAAACGGAGATCAGCCGCAGATTCTCCGTGGTTCAAAAAGCTGTACAATATGCTAACACAACAAGATTAGCTGTAATCCGCGACAACATTCACGGACTGCACTAGGGGTATTTCCCCCCTCCCAGGAATGTGACACCCGATGGAATTCTGAACTCATGACATAGTAATTTGCGACGGATGAGAGGATAAAGATGTCGCGCAAGTCGCAGAGACCTGTCCACTAAGTCGTCCAGATTGGCCAACTACTTGTAAAGCACAAAAGATCCTTATAATTCCACAATTTAACACCAAAATTTTCTAGTGCTTCACCTATTTCAAACCTTCACAAAGAAATTCAGATCGCGTTGCCACTAGTATCCTGCATTTGCTCAACCTCATTTCATTGAGCTCGTTCTCATTTTGATTGTAACAACTACAGAGAAAATTGTCGGCACCTGTAGAATTCCTTGTCTAATTACACATTTGCATGTAACAAGAGAATGAAATCACTAACAAAACAAGTGGTTCGTAAACTCACTGGCGTGTGGAATAGCGCAGCCGAGGAGCGACGAAGGAGGCAGACGAGCACTTGAAGAGCAGATTGCCAACCGAGGAGCTGAACTGGAAGAAGAAAGAGAATCAGCAGTGCAGGGAATTAGGGCTTTCGCCATAGCCATTGCAATTGGCTTGGCCAGGCAATGATCTCAGGCCTAGAATACAAAAAAAAGTGTTAAGACCTTGACTTCTCGTCAGTGCAACTAAAATTGTTTCTCAGCTGAGATTGCGATTGTTCAAGTCAATCACACTCTTGCCGATGTGGCGCTACGTTGTCCTTTAATCTGCCAGTCACCCCCTGCTGATAAGGCTCACTCCGCGTGTCTGAGGATGATACTGACCTAATCATAAGATACGCTTGCCTGCAACTCCTTCGCATGAGAGGTGATGCCGCAACCATATAATCATGTACAGGCACGTGGGCTTTCTGCGCGAGACAGTTCAGGGGAGAGATGAATTCAATCAGCTACAGCCATGGCTTGCCAATTTCTGCGGAAGCTGTCGGGAAAAGGAGCGGTGTCTAATCAAGAAGACATGCAATTCGTTGCCATTGTGTGAAACAGATTGTCTAAGCTATAACGTCATCGTAACATCCAGAGAGAGAAAATCGGTTATAGTTTGAGAATGAAGCTGAAATGATCAATAGTCTAGGGGTGTTTTTGTGCAAGGGCTTGTTGAAACGTCTAGACAGCAAGTTAAGGCGATCATTGGAGTGCTTCTTGTCGGAGTCTATTCCAGTGATGGATCATATATCTGCTTAAGCATGCTCAGTGCAGCATCACCTTGAAGTACAAATAAAGCGTGAAGTGAGGGAGGTAAACCAGCTCGATACAGTTTCATATCTTAAGAAAAGTCAATTAGTCATTGTGGATGTCAGCGCTAGATACTAAAAGAATTTTCTTTTCGTTTTACTGAGCTGCTCCATTTGCTCAGATTGGACACGAATCATGAGGAAAATATTACTTAGTTCTGCCTAAGGTACCAGCTAGGTGCCTGGTGCAAGATTCGTATGTGATGAGGTTGTGTGTGTGAATTGCAGGTCCAACCTCTTCTTTCATGGTCTATATGTCACGCATTTCACCTACGAAGAGCTCATGTTTTCTGCGTTTCCCGAAGCGCTACAACTTAAGACACTTGTCAATACGCTTTTCAGCCCTTTCAGTAGAAATTTGGCTCAATGTATAGGTCGAGGCGCCTAATTTATGAACTAGTCACAACCTAGCGCCTTAAATTTTGAATTTAATGGCTATAGCATGCAGCTTTAAGTATTTGGTAAATTACCTACAGGATAAGTCCTCTCGGAAGACACGTCCAGGACGTCACTATCGTAGAATTTTAAGTTGCTATTATCCGTTTGCCTTTTTACGGCACCTGCAACAACTTGCAATAATCGCAAGTTGAGCTGAAGAAACAATATTTCAAAAAAGACTTCATCAGCACTCTCCACAACAAAGACCACGTCATGCAGACGGCCGCAAAATATTTCAATTACAGCATTTCCATAGCACCAGGCGCCGGAAGTGGAGGGATTGACAAATAAAAAAAAACTTGAGGGATATCACAGGTTGCTGTTCATAACCAGCTATCCTGTAAGACTGTAAATCAATGTGATCCGCAGAATCTTTCAAGAACAATCAACCTAGCAAATCAAAACAGGTATTATGTGAATATCATTACACAATAGTAGGTGCTAACGAATTTTGGTCCCACTTTGATGGCACAGCACTGAATCATGACGACTAGAAGTTCATGCTTGAGACCACCGCTAATTAGACGGGGCTTACCAATGCTTTCAACGACATGTCCGGAGTGGTGCATAGGCCATGCTCTAGAACGAGTGTTGATCTAGAAGTTGAAGTCACCTGATCGAAAAGGCTGCAAATTCTATTTCTAATCCTTCCCCTTCCTAACCCAAGCTGAACATGCCCTTGTCACAGCTGCTTATGTCAGATTCGATTCTGTTCAATTCAGACCAGCCATAAATCTGGTAGCAACTTGCCATGGCTTACCATTAATCGCCCTAGACAATCTCTGGAGATTGCAGCTGGGAATCGAGGCGCAATGTTAAAATGAACAGAGCTAGAGCGTGCGTTGCTTCCCCTCGCAAATTGCATAGACCTCGAGCCAGATGAATTAGGGCGGATTGACATTATTACCGTTGACTACATCGACATATTAGACACATCCATAAACAACTGCAGCAATGTGATAGCTGAGAACACAGAGTGAGGTCTTGTAAGAATTAACACCACAGCTATAGAAGTATGAGATGTGATATTCGAGGGGCAACCTTATCTCCAGGGGATTTTGATTGCTTATTTGTGTTGGGAGCCGTGAGCTGCCGATTGTGATGGAATCGATGTTGTCCCCGTCGTCCACTATTGTGACCATGGTTTTTTCGTTCACACGGGACATTAGCTTTCGCAATTTCGAGTTTCGATGCAGTGCCCTGAGTTGTGAGCTGGCTCTCTCGAACTCTCTGCCCCTCGTTCCCCTCCAAGGTCATCCAGCATTCCTCAGCGATTTTTTCAACTACTGTCTTCCCTTTTCAGAGCTTGCTACTTTGCTCTGCTCGCACCCGCCCCTCTCGTGCCTCCCGATTAAAAGACATATCCTACAGATAGAACACGTTTGGTAGCCACATGTCTGTTGCGTCCGGGTGCACTGTTGTGCCCGCAACACTCGAAGAAGCCGCTTCTTTGCAGCGTCACACGAGACCTTGGATTGTTTCGCATTTCAATTTCAAGTTCTCGACGCTGTACGCAGTGTCGCAGAACTACGTCATCCTATTGAGAGCTAGGGGATATAAACAATAACATGGCAGCTGTGATGCACTCCACCAGAATTGATGTTTGTTTGATTTGTGCTAAAGATACTTCCCTTGCTTCAGCGTCTCGTGGGAGCTCTTAAGCGCACATGGCTGAGGGGGGAGAGACTTCACTGTTGGTAACGTTTTGAAAACCAAAGCAAGCCGAGTTAGTATTTTTCTTGAAGGTACTGCGTTTATGGCGTCGTTGCTGCACTAATGTCTAGCTGCAACATGAGGTTATTCCTTGGAACCAGCGACGATTTTCTTCACAAAATTTAGTTACGCTGGTAGACGTGTTTCAGGGTTGTGTTGGATCTTCATGTGAGCACTTTCATAAGTAGATAAGAATGCATTCCTTAATATAAATACAAGCTTTAAAGACTTGACAACATGGTATGGGAGGTTCATCTCACCACAAAGACCTTGGATTTGAACTTGGGTGACAATAATAGAGTTAGTTTTGTCATGTATATTATTCAAATATATTAATACTGTCTTTATGTACATCTTCTGGATTTCTCTTTTACTTGGCTTAGGATACTCTCCCCCTTGGCCTTGGGTATTCATGTGTTATTACTCTAGATAAATGGACTAATTGAAGCGTTGATTCGATGGATTTCTTCTGGGATTACCAAAAAGAAACCTCTAGTGAAGTGGAGTGTACTAATACTCTAGTAGAGTGTGCTTCTGGCATTCGTATGGCTGAGCTATCATTATAGAAGCTGTCAAATTTTGTTCTTAGAACTTGGGTTACGAGGCCAAGACCTCTGCAGCCATTGATCAGTGCAAATTTTAACAAAATCAGGAGAGCTGGTCCCATAACAATTGACTGGTCCCACAGGTGGTAGTTTAGAGGATAATCAGTGGCTGGTAAGCGATTGTGAAATTACAAGTCATTGACCCTCTTAGTTTCCTAAGTAGTATTTATTAGTAATTATGGGCCAGCCCACAGGCAAAAGCTTTATTAAAAATGGCTTAAATTTATAACCTTACCAGTACAAAACTTGTCGGCAGAATGATACCACGACTCCTGTTCGGTCAATCAGAGACAAGGATTCCTCTTGCTTGACAGTGTACATTACATGCCTTAGTGGCTCACATATTGTTTCGAGTCTTGAATTTGACTCCATATTCACCTAAAAGTGAAGAGCCTACCTGCAAGCATACTACAACTAAAAGAGTCCCCACTTACATGGATCAATCACCGAGTACGGAAACCTAACTTTCGTTTTGACAGCAATGTGCTCCCTGGAAAAATATCTCAGGAATTCAGCGATCTTAAGAATTCCAGAAAATGTCCATGCAGCCCTTCGCAAGGTGCAGTAGTAAGATTTAACGGGTCGTCCGTTTCTGCCTCTTAACTGTACACGCTACTCTAGAATAGCTACATTTCACGAAAGGGATGCAAGAGGAAAAACAGTGGAGCTACATCAAAGCCTTCACCATATCCAAACTATACCTTTCAAGCCTACGTATCACTGAAGACAACCCGTTGTGGCCTTTTCAATGATACAACACAAACGGAATTGCTCAGCAGTGGGATGATTTGTACCCGGTAATGAGGATTCCACTCATTTGCCTACACAAACCAACGAAATCCTCAACTTCAATCCTAGACGTGACAACAACTCATTGACACACAGTTACCGACATTGCCTCAGATCTTGCTGCTACCGTCTCATAAAAAAGCACCTGAGGCTGCAAATGGCCTCTCCGACATGTGCTTGCCACATCTTTCCATTCCCCAATAACCTGCGCACAGCGGTACATGTCCAAGGTGTCTTTAGGATATACGTAAATATTGAGTAAAAAATACAACGGTTGTAACTCCCTGACACCAATTTAATCAATATAAGAGAGCAAAAGAAAATAATATACGTTGATTGCCACCTCAATGATCCATCTCTACATCTCCTCACATGACGTTCATGACTGAAAAACCATCATATTCAGCTACATGAGGCGCAGCGTTTATCATAGAGGCAGGATCCTTGAGTACCTTCACTGTGCTGTCATCAAACATTACCCATCTCCCGAGCTCCTGGTTATAAGCAAAGCAATGATAGTGAAGGCCATAATAGCATACCTGCATGAGCAAAGATTCACCATGAAAAGAATCAAAAGATGTCAATACCAGGTCAATTAAGCGCAAAAAATCAAGGTTCCAATTCCTAATGCTCTATGGCAGACAAACGGATCACACAACTCTGCTTTAGAAACCAGCAGCCTTCAACATGAAAGCCAAAACAGATAAAATCAGAGAACTTTTTTTCATTGAAGTTGTAAATCCACAGTTATCACAAATAGCTCCCAAGACTAGAGGATAAAGGCTTACAACAGAAACAAGTCTGTGCTGAAAGCCTTTGTCGAGGCCACAATAGATAACACCAACGTCCAATGCAACGTCAATAGCATCCACTGTAGCTGATATATCTTCAAAGCTCTCACGTCCATTCTGCCAACCCAGCACTGACACAAAGACAGCTAATAAATTAATAAGCTTCAGGAGAAATCCACAACATTTAAGTCACCAAAACCCAAAAAGTATTCTTTCCGTAATGATACGATGCCACACATTTCGTCAAAAGAGAAAGTATCCACCGTAACAATGATGAAAATAGAAGAAAACAGAAACTAAGCAAGCAGAGTTGCACTAACCCAAATATTTGAATGAAGACACGAACCTCAAAAAGATCTTAATAGTACACATCTACCATTTATGACGTGTGTAGCATGTACAGCTGTTTGCTTACCTGTGGTAAATACATGAGGGGCAGCTTGCAGGAAATGATGCATGTGGTTTTGTCTCCCACAACCACCATCATCGGTTCTATCACATGTTAATTGGTCGTTCATATCAACAAGTTTTAGCAGATCATCCATAGAGCTTTCCTCGTACAGAGCCTACATAAATACATGAAGCACAATATGAGACTTGATGATTGTCAACCCCCATTACTAAAAGGCCTTTATTGTTTAATTACAACATGAGGAAAAACATACGAGCAATTTTGTTAGGGTGGTAGACATATAATACGAAAATTTTGTAGATACTTTGGCACACATTAGAATAGAATAAGCAGTGTTGTATTTTCCACCAAATAAATTTAAAAGCGGCAATAGTTTGACTGAACAATCACATCCCCAGAGTTTTGAACAACAAACCTTGGCAGAGCGCAGTGCACTCGCATTAATGTGGTGAAAGAAAGTCGTGTACTTGAAGTGACGAGACTCCAAATGACAACCTTGGCAGTTCATTTGCTCAGCAACTTGCAGCCCAAACAAAGCGTGGGCCATACATGGAAACTCCTCATAGCAATCCCACGATCCTCGTGTTATGCTACTCTCTGAATTTCCAACAGAAGTAGCATTCGGGACAAAAGCCTTATGTAAGCACTCAAAAATAACTCCCAAGACTTCAGAAGCATCATTCATTTGCCCCTGCAATACAACAAAATATATGAATCACTAGCAATCGATGATGTAACGACTATGTTTTCAATGAATCCTTACATGCATTTATCAAAAATCTCCTTAAAAGCCCAAACAAACGAGACTTTCCTACGCTAACCGCCTCCCAACCACACAGCTGTTACTTGGTACCTACATCGAACTAAGAATCCCGAAGAATCCAGAGAACAGCAACGATGACAATTGAAATCAATATTGCATATACCTGTTTAAATAGGTCGCTATCTGGATATAATGCACTGAGAGCCACCCGCAAAGCGATCGGTGCAACTGCATCTCTACTGCTGCTATTGTGAATAGGCGCATCCAAACCCAAAAAGATATCACGCAGTGCACAAACCACGCATGGCGACCCAATATGCACATGCTGCGTACTTGTGTCAGCCAACAACTCCTCCCGAAACCGCCTCAAATGCCAGAGTGACTGAGAAGACATCAAAACCTGAATTTTCAGTTTCCTAGATTTACAGATGGGATGAATAACTTCAGGAAAAGTTTCAATGAGTTTGCACAAATACAAAACATCCGAGCTTTCTATACAGTGAGTTTCACTTCAAAGAAGAAGATTCAACCTGTATGACAACATTGAGAAAACAGTTGTACTGCCCAATTTCGTTTCTCAAACCTTTCCCAAACTCTTCAATTTCCTTCGAAGATGTCTCAACAACGCCGGTTATAGGTCCAATGATTCCTGTCTCTAACAGCTGCTGCGCTCTATGATCGCCAGATGTCCCATTTGATCTTACAGTGTGAATTGGAGACGAAGGTACATGGTTGGGGACAACTGAGGCTGCTGACTGCGACGTCAACATGTCTGTTTTAAACAACACAAGAGATTTTAAATAGATGAAATGTAAAAAACGCATGAGAACCAATCTCAGTAGGTATCCAGGTAGCGAAATATATCACAACAGCACTCTTCTGGTCCTGAACCTCGACAACAAAGGTTCATGCCAGAATTAAAGACCCTCACCTAAGCTCTGACGCATGGCCTGCTCCAAATCAGCCTGAAATCGCTCCTCATCGTCTTGCTCTGCTTGAAGCTGCCGCAAGCTCTTCTTCCCCTCATGCTCTCCAGCAGCTTGGAGACAAAGAGAACCACGTTTACAAATAAGTTCATCTTAAGCTAAAACAATCAATCTGTGAGGCCAAAAAAAGTATGAGCATAGACTGCTTGTAGCAAAAGGCAATACCTGTACTTGAAATGGACCAACTGGTAGTACATTACTCTATTTCTACAAGCAATCTATCTACGCATGCTGAAAGCCTAAGTCTATTAAACATAATGTAAGCGCATGAACGTTGTAGAAAAAAGATAATAGCGACCGCAAAGAGCGAGGAACCGTAGTTTGATAACCCTAAAGAAGCAAACCTTCAGATGCAGGAGCAGGTAACAGAAGGAGTGGTTGTACTGGATGCAGTCCATTTGTTGGTGCAGCACCATAACTTCGCGTGGCGTTTTGACGGAGAAATGACTTCGAGTTATCTATGGTTAGTATTCCCCCGTGCTCTTTAGGGATCTTCTGGCGTAAAAGTGTTTTTGGACCATTAACAGATTCATGAGCATTACAAGACTGTGTATCCTGATCTCCTACTATACCTTCTTCAGCATAGATGCGAGGACCCTTTCTACGCCGGTTCCGGCTACCGTTTCTTGGTTTCTTTTGTACAGCATTGGAGTGCTCACCATCCCCTGATAGTAAAGTGTTACTGCCTGCTAACGGTGTGTGACCCGCAAAGCCTGCTTTCTCCAACGTCTTGTTGGATTCATCTTTCACCAGTTGCTGCTCAGTGACCTCCAAATCGAAATCCGCACTACCATTCATGTTCCCAGAGATTTGAGGGACATTCTGATCTGGGACAGGCTGCATTTTCCAAGCTGAAAGAGCAGGGGAATGGGAAGTACCTCCAGAACTGTGTGCCACTACTGTTGGAAGCACTAATTGAAAATTCACGGGATCTGCCATTTCAGTGAGATGTTGATGTCCATTCTGAGCCAACAAGAGTAGTGTCGAACTTGTTGGTAACATAGTGGAGCTGACCACATCAACCGATTCACTCGTAAAAGGAAAAGTGCCAACAGCCTCTTTCTCCAAGACCTTCATGGCCTGTTTTGCTATTTTTTTCTTTCGTTCTTGCTCAGCCAGATGTTTTTGCTTGGCTTCATCTTCCACACGCCGCTGCAACTCAAGTGCTTCCATAAGCTTGCGTTCCTCTTCAAATAATAAAGCTTGGTGCTGAATTTCAAACTCCCGCTGTTGATTCAGGTCATCTCTGACTACCCAATCCCAGTTGTCACCCTTATCTTCATCTAGATCCACACTGCCAAGCATAGAGAATGATGAGCACATGAAAAGATTCCAAATTCAGATAAACAGAAAGAATGAGTGCAACTCAACCTTCATACGGCACAACAAAGATGTCATCCAAAAAACAAACAAAAATAAACAAAAAAAACTCCATACATATATAGCTCATGTGAACAACAGCTTAACACTTTCAGACCACGTGGCATCATACTACATAAAATGCTGAATATGATACTTAAGATCGCAGTATCACGCACTAAGTTAAATAAGCTACAACCACGTAGATACAAACATACTAAACCAGTTTCGAAAAGTAGTGAAAAAACCCAAATCCTAACATGAATTCACTGAAACGGTTCCAATTACATTATTACAAAATTTCTGCATCAAGTGCTCGACGTATTCCCACCTGGGCGTTTCATCCTGCGGTTCTGAATTGGTAGATCCGCGCTGCAACCAACAGAATGCAAAATAATTAGCAACAGTACTCATAAGCATGACAAGCCTTACAGTATCAATCCTAGAAGCAACGTACCCTCAAATATGGCCTTTTCAAGTCTTAAGATAATCTATCTGTCCGATCATAAAGATGAGTTTTGACAAACCCTTAGCTAAGAGTCACATAATTTTGCACAAAGTTTTACGGAGGCAAAATCCAAAACGTGACGCCAGAGGAGAAGAGCGCTTAATTAATAGGTGAGTACCATCTCGAGGGCCATTTCAGACATTTGCAAGGAACAGACTTCAACTGACCTTAGCATCCTTAAATTTCTTTTTATCTTTAACTTTCTTCTTGTCTTTTGATTTACCACGGACTTGCTTCTGATGTTCCACTTCTTTAGGTGCTGAGCTTTTCTGATCCTTAGCAAGCTCTGCAAGTAAAGCTTCTTGAACTGCGTCTAATTTTTGCTGGGCATCCCTTTCGGCTTCTGTCTCTAACCGAGTCTGCAAAATTAGTATGCACATAGTTAGCACGTGAAAGAGGTTCACATAAAAAAAACCAAGGATACGTCATGATTTTCACAAAAGAAAAATCAGATCAAAGAAAACATACAAAACAAAAATGCATCTACTTATCTCTCTCACACACACACACACAAAATAAATAAATAAATAAATAAATAAGAAGAAGAAGAAGAAGAAGAAGAAAAAAAAAAAACAGAAAAAAAAAGAAAGGGGGGGGGGGGTATTCTAATCCAACTCCAAAGGGACATACCTGAAGAAGACTCTTCACAAGAGGAAGAACAACTGCTCTGTAGTTAAGAACCGCTAACTGTCCAAGTTTGATCTCCTTCTTCAGCAGATCATCTGTTGCCCTCATTATCTTTGCATCCAGGTGGTTAACCTGCAACATAACCAGTTTCCCTTTTTCATCTTCGCTGAAAGGTTGGCTCGAATAGTTCTACAATCATTAACAACACGGGTTATCCCAAACAGTCAACGCAAACTTTTTCCAAGTAAAGGAACTTTTGCCTTTTTTAAGATATTACAAAGAACCTGACTAATCTAGAGGAAGGAGAATTTCGGTTGATAAATACGGTGTTTAAGAATACACATCTTTAAACAATGCTCAATCAAATGACTCGCCTTATTTGAAAGCTTTCCTCTTTGTCGAATTCTTGCAGCATCCACAAGAGAATAAGCATCCGCGCGACGATCAGCACATTGGACAAACTCTTGCGTTTTCCAGGCACTCGTTTCATATCCATCCCAGTCACTCACACGAACTCCCAAGCTTCCATCGGAAGAACGACTAACGGAGCCATCAGGTTGATATTCTCTTCTCTTATTTTCTTCAAGACATGATCGTTTGACAAGGTTCAGAGCGTCCTCATCACTGACAAGCTCGTACTTCTGTTTACATAAGTCGAGTAGATTTGCAAAGTCGTTTTCATATGCACGGCACACATCACGACCACTTCGTCCCTGCTCCTCTCGAAACTGCTTCCAGCCAGATGGCTGATATTCATACCCTGTAGTACCAAATATCCATGAAAGCTGACGATCCATGTGCTTGGTACTTAGCTCTCCATTATTCCCTTTCATGAGAGGCAAACGCTGTCGGTGAGATACAGCGTCTTTCTCAACCACAAATTCCTTAGGTCCTCTATGCTCAAGGGCATCAGTAGGTGAAAGTAGCTCCTTAGGAAACTCCTTTAACACGCGCTCATCCAACAAGAGATTTGTGAAATCCTCGTTAGGAAACATTCGATCTTCTATAGTCTCTTCCTCACCACCTTCTCCATTACCACGATGAACCGTGTTTTCTGAATAGCGATTTACTCCACATGCCTGAGCAAGCTCTACAAGATAATTATATACATGCTGAAGAGGTTTTAGCTCCAAGAAGCGAATATACAAAGGTGATGGGTTGAATTCATCATGTCTTGCTGGACTTGAAAATAATGACTGAATTTCCTCGGTAGAATATTCAATGATCTTTGAAACATAGTCACGTGTTAAGCACTTGTTCTTAATGAGAACCTTGAAAAGACCGTGAATCTTCTCCAACAGCTTTTTCCTTGCCTCGTCGTCTACAAGTGGTAAATCTTGAGAAGGAACATCTACTTTGGCGGTCCGGCCTATTTGCATCCCATTTCGACAATCTCCTTTGCAGGCGCGCATATATTCCTGACCTACTCCACTAGCTCCTTGATCAGGACCTGCTTCAATATCTTTGAAGGTTTCAAGGCTTACTTCTTTGGCATCCTCAACACTCTTGGCATTGATGACCTTATCCGTAGATTTCTGAGAAAACTTCGAATCCTCGCACTCTATCACAGTAGTTTCTGCAGCTTGTAAGTCATCGGACAGAAACGAGCAAGCACATTTAATAAGCAGCTTCACAGCTGCAACACCATCGATGGGTCGGCAGTCTTCGTCCAGTAGCTGATCCATCCACTCTTGGTCGAACTCTTGAGGAATCATCTGTTGTAATTCCTGAGGGAGGGTTGGCATATGCTTCTCCAAAGTATGATGACTAAGATCGTGGTAGCTGACAAATCTTTCCCCGCATTTGCAACATGCCCAGAAACGCCAAGTCTTATACTCCTGTGCGAATTCCAGAGCCTCAGAAAGAGCATCAGATGCAGCGTGACTTTTGACAAGTCCACCGCCAACCTTCCAAGATGCCAAATGATCCTTCAGTTTAGCAATCGACACTTCAAGCATACTCTCTCTTTTCTCAGGTGTAAGGTCATACCAGAACTGTCGCACCCGGTCTATTCTTTCATCTATGGAAAGGGGCTTGGAAATTTTCCTCGAGTTTAGCCCACTAGATTTTCGTCGTTCAAGCTTCTTCTGAAGTGATTTTTCATGATCCTCAGGGTAATCTATGCCACCATCGGCTGATGAATCCCTCTGTTGCAACAACCGTGCGGCAGCAACTCGCAACTCGATCTCTTTCCGCCTTTCTTCAGGAGTTTTCACCACTTTCTTGACCTCATGCGGACGTTTAGGCAGAGAAACTCTTTGCTCCATTGGGTCCTGATTAGCAAACTTCCGCATCTGTACAAATCGAAGCTTCTCCTCACCCATCCCACTTCCCAGTGTCTTCATCCATGTGGAAATAGAGGTTAAATTTGCCTTCTGCATCAAAGACCGCAATTCCTGGTGCACATGAGCAATGCGGGCCTCAGCAGTAAGTAGCTCCTGCTGCTGCTCATGGTGCAGGTCCTCTCTCGCTGGATCAACAGGATCATCAATACGTAGAGCTCTTTCACATTCTTGAACAACATCTTCGTATCCTTTGCTGTCCTTTGCAGCTTCATAGAGAAGCTGAGCATAAAAGTGCGCGTACTCTACTGACTGAGGAGAGAGAGAAGCAGCTTTTCTGGCGCTTTCAAGAGCAGATTGAAAATGCTTTTGCTTGGTCCTCGAGTCCTCGATGACAGCCGCTTGACGCATGAAAATATGGCCGTGCACACGGTGTGCTATACCAGAAGCCTCATTTCGACTACATACATCTCTCATAAGCTTCAAAGCTTTAGTGCTGTTTCCTCTCCGTAAAGCTACCAATGCCTTCTCACACTCCCTTTTCACGAGAGCAGCACTCGCAGATTCATCCGTATCGCCGCTAGTGACACTAGATCCTCCCCAACGGACGACCGGCAGCACCTTCCCAATGCCGTTCGAAAGCACGGCAGGTGAGCCTCCTTTCCCAAGACATTTGCCCGTGGCACCACCATTTCCAGGATCCGTTGCATCTCTCTTTCGCTGCCCTCCTCCTCCTTCATTCGCTGATAAAAACACTTCTGCTACTGTTCCAGCATGGGACTCTGGCACTGCCACCGCCCCTCGCGAATCGGCAACATACGGACTAGTTGAAATAAACCAAACTGGAGCATTTTCCAGCGGAGCAGGAGACACTGGGACGTTGACAGTGGCAGTGCGAGAAGCGGATGCTTTCTTCTTTTGCGCCATGAGCAGGAGTGCGTTTTACAAGCATGGCCATGGGAGCTGCATAGCAACCGCTTCGACTACTGAAAGCACTACAGTATACCTTTCTTCGCCATAGCTTTTAGCACAGGGGAAAAGGAACAGAAAAAGTGTTTCTCATGCTCTTCCTGCATTCAGGACGAATCCTGATGCTTTCATCCCACCGGTTCCATCTTAATCTCCAAAAAAAGGGTGCGTCACATCCAAACCAATTCGTTTGAACACTGCGACTTCCAAATACATCTCTTAGAAGGATCGTTTAACAATGATCCAAGGTAAACCCTATGAACTGAACAGCCTCCCAAGTTACTTACAAAAAGTACAGTAAAATATTACAAACGTGATCAGGAAAATCAAGGTCACGCCTTGAAGAATATAATAAAATAAAACAAAACTCGCAACCTCAATCCCAAAGCTTGAATATATTGCTCCTAAACCATTATCGCCTACACAAGAACACAACCCTAAAGGTCTAGAGCGCCAAAAACAACCCTAAGCAAGACCGATAGAACAGCTTAAAGCAGTAACCTAAACAGATCTAACCAATATATCACACCTCGCAAATCCAGCACAAAGTGTTAATTTCTCGCCATTCTCACGGCTCTCGCCCGATTTGCAACAAATGCACAAAGGAGAACGTAATTCCTATTAAGCGAAAATCATCATCGACATCATCAGCAGCATCAACAACAACAACAAAATGAATCTCCTCCCTGTGAAGAGCACAGAAGCTGATACTTGAAGACACAGTTCTAAATTAAACAATAACCCTTTAACCCGCAATATTTCAGAACCATTCTTGCTCCACATGCACCTTGGCCCTCTCTTCTCACTAAAATGCTACCAAGACACGGGTGATCTACTGAACTCGGTCGCCAACTCCCAGAGCAATGCAGAGCTCCGACGAGCTTTGCAAGTGATAGACTGGAATGCGAGGTTCAACTCACCGTGGGAGAAGAGAGCGAGTCCATTGATCGCAGGGGTTGAATCAAGTCATGGAGAAGGAGTACAGTATCTCCGGGCGGATGGCAGCTCAAGCAGGCCTAGGCATGGAATTGGAGGCGGATGTGTAGAAGAAGACGAAGAAGAAGCAAAAAGGTGGAATGGTACTACGAGGAAGACGAAGATCGAAGGCAGCTGGCAAGTGTACACACTGCAGCGTGATTTTGACAGCGCCTCCCAGTCCAAGGAGCCAACCTCGGATGAATAAATAATCAAACGCGAGGATGGATGAATTTATAGATGAATGAATTCAGTTTTCAATAAATATAGATGAATTTATGTTTCGGATTAACCATCGTTAGGGTTGGAGTTGTCGGTATCACACTGACAGGATTCCATTACGCCAAGTTGACCAAGTGTGCGAGAATTAACGCTGGTCGCACCGAATGCTCTGGGCCACTCAAAAGCTGAATCTTCACATTTATTGTGTGGGACATGCTTGATAAGCTCAGATTAGGATGTTTTCCCTACAAAGTTTTTTGTGATTTCTGCACATGTGGCAAAACTCGTAATTCGCAGTGTAGTTATTCATATGCTGGATTTATTCACGATTTGGAAACACGACACTTTCCATGTGTGAAAATGTGTGTTTCTCAAACTCGATTTTTCTTAAGAAACTGGGTTCATTGTACAATATCACAAGAATGGAATTTGAAATTGGGAAGTATGTAATTTTCATGCATCCAAGTATAAACACATTAGTTGTTACAAAGTTTTAACAAACTCTAATTGGTTGAACTAGTACTGTTAAATAAAAATCGTGGATCCAGCAGAATTTTTCTGTACAAACATTGAAATTCTCTCAATTTTAGTAACATGTATGTTTGCTAAGAGAAATATTTTGGAAAAGAATGTTGTCTACTTGATAGCATTGTTAGAGCAAGATTTTCAATGTGCAGGTTGGCCTTTGTATCACCAATTGGTAAAATCGTATCATAATGTCATATATGTTTATATCAATTTATCGAGACTTTAAACTAAAATTCCCAATATACCTATGTGACATAAGCTTGTAAACAATTTGCTAATTATTTAGAATGATTTTAAAATAATGAAGGTAGATTTTTCATCTTATACAAATCTGAATGTCAATTTTATGTGTTTCTTTGAGATTTGCTTCATGTGAGAGGTTTTCAATATTCAGATTTCAATTAAAAACTCATAAGTTGTTCAAAGTTAAATATTTTATATGTATTGCTGTGCATATCAGTTGTTTAACTTGCATCATTGCTGCTAGACTAGGATGCATATTTTCATTGAATGAAAAAGGACTAAAAGAAAAAAACAAAAATACCTAATAGTGGAAAGCTACACAATTATTGTATTCCAAATGAGACATTATAACAAAGTTCCTATCAACCAAAATGAAGGGCTTATTCTTTTGAAAAATTTCAATGTGTAGAATAATTTAGGATTAGCTTTCAATTAACAAAGTACTTCAAATTTGATGTCTAGGGACATGTTAAACCAAAACCATTGTTGTATTATATGAAGTTTTCTTGAGAAGTATATTGTGTTGTATATCAAGATTTTGAAGAATTCTTTTTAAGATATTAAAAGTAGTTACAAAACTATCTTTAGCTTTCTATCCTCAAATTGATGGACAAATAAAATAAGTGAATCAAGTTTTGAAATAATATTTAAGATATACCATTAACTACTATTAAGATGATTGGATAATTTTTTTATGGTTGACAAAGTTTGCTTATAATAATAAGATATATTTTCTATTTAACAAACACCTTTCTATGCAAATTATGATTATTATCTACGATATGATACTTTTGATTTTTTAAAAATTGATGATCTTGTGATAAAAGATATAGAAAATTGTTTATTAAAGTTACATGCAACAATGAAGGCAAAATTAAAAGAACTTCAAAAACAACAAAAATCAACACAAATGCCTATTGCAAAGAACAATCTCAATTCCACATTTGCAACAAGGTATGATAACATTATCATAGCATGAAGATTACTTGTCTTTATGACAAAATGGATTATTGTAAACTTGTATTATTTTCTATTCATAAATAGATCAATCCACCTGCTTATTAATTATATCTATTGGAATCTATAAAGATTCATTTGATTATTAGCCTTAGAATTATATTTATTATTTAATTAATAAAATAAAGATATTAATTTCTTTAGGAAGTATATTTAAAAGAATTTTAGACATAAATAAGTATAAAAAATAAAAAATAAAAATAAAAAACTTAATATTAAAAGAAGTTAAGAAGAGAAGACTTGGTGAAAAAATAAATTATAAGAAAGCTAGTATAAATAAGATTAAGAAAAGATAAGTTAGTATAAAAAGACAAAGTTGTTAGCTATCCATGTATTAAAAAGCCAAGGTGGTTAAAACCACCTTTAGTAGTTATAGTAGTTAGAAATAAAGTAGTATTACTTTTTTTAAATAATATGAAAAGAAACTTATTATAATGGTTATAAATATCTACAAAGTTATGTTATAAAAATTATATTAAAAAAATCATAATAAAGAAATTACAATTGACATTCTATTATGTCATATTATTATACATTTTTGATCTATTAAAAAGTTAAAAATGTTACAAAATAAGGTTCATAAAGATCCTTTGGGATTCTTAACACAAAAATAAATAAATAAATAAATAAAATAACAAATCAAATTTGACAAAGATAAGACAATATTCATGAAGTGAACGACATCAATGGACTACTTCAACATTGAAAAGATAAGAAGGAACATAAAGAAGAGATTGAAGAACAAGGATGTCAAAGACATTTTTAGAATATGAATAACTGACATTGAATTTGATATCTACTTCAATTCTAAGAACTTAAATCAAAGTCATAACTTTTAAGAAGACAAAGAATAATCTTCATCAAAGATTGATGTAAGTATATAGATAGCTCTTATATAGAAATATAGAAGAAATATTCTATAATTCTATAGATGTGAGAATCTAAGTATTCATCTATGTTCCATATATTTCTTCTTGAGACATACAAGACAATGGATATATTACAAAAAAAGAAAAATACCACTTTTTCCTTTAAAAGTAGATAATAATCAAGAGTTTATGGTTGAAGAAGTTTTAGATTTAATGTGATGCCAAAATAGGTTGAAATATCTGATATAATAGTATGAATATGATATTAGTAAATAAACATGGAAGTCAATTAAGAATCTTACAAATACAACAAAGAAGGCTGATATTTTTTATTGAAAATATTTAACAAAATTAAGATAAAAATTCAAGCAATTACTTACTATAAAAGAAATAAAGTCCAATAAATATTGTAATTTATCTTCTATCTTTGTTTGTGATTTTTTGTATATTAGTGGTGTATAAAAGATAGAAAATCAATAATTTACAGATTCAACTTAAGAACTATTGTTTTTCAAGTTATTAAATAAGACATTTACATTTTCACAACCTTCAAGTTGATATAATCGAGATGAAGATCCTAAAGAACAATAAGTTCTTCTTCAAATAGATGGTGAAATACAACATATTTAATATCACGACCTTTAAAGAGTTTTTTTTATATTTGGTGATATTATCGGAGGTAGGAACTACACTTGATGGCTAAAAGGACCTATGAACTAATTTTGAAGAGAATAAAGATTAGAATATGTAGCAAATATAATTTGTTGCATTTTAGACTTTTTCAACATATAATGACTATTCTTTGTGGAACTTATTTCTAGAAGGAAAGATAATATGAGGGACATAGATATTCATCTAAATTAAAAAAAAAAAAACTAGATAGAAATAAGTAGAAATAAGTAATTTTGATAATATCTTTTAAAAAAACTTTATAGATATAAATTTGACTTTATACATTTTTGTAAGTGATAGATAAGTTGAAGAATTGGCCAATGTATTAGCTACATGGTGTATATATAGGAAACTTGACTTGCATGTTAGACATGTATTTTGCAAGTTAGACACATGTTGGAGGTCTTATAGAACGTTGCTATATAGGACTTACTTAGATAGTATATATGGAGGCAAAAGTGAAGCTTTATTTATTCTTGTCAATGTCTTTGTTCTCTTTAGTCTTATTTCAAGAGCCTTTAATTATTTTTTTTGGTAATAACCATTCTAATTTAATACTATACTATCTTTAAATAATTATCTATTCTTTTCGAGTGATACATGAGTGTATTGATCTTTTATTTTTTTGTAATTTATGTCCTTGACATGTTCTTATGTTGAGTTTAGATTATTATAGTGTAATAGATTTTCTTACAACTATTGATTTTTTTCTATTAATGCTAACTAATTTTTATACCAAGAGCTCAATTATTTTTTTTGTGTGTTTTCAATACATCAATGTGTTCTACAATTTTATAGTTATTATTTAATTATCAATAAATACTTCTAATAAAAAATTTGATCCATAATATGAAGAGTTTTATTATTATTATTATTATTATATCTTTTAGTATTTTTTTAATAAATTATGAGCTCATAAATTTATAGTTACATATTCTAAAAATAACCTACAATAGAATTTTTTAATCCTAATATAAAATACTATTACCATTCGTTAGTAATTGTTAGAAATAATAGATACTGAGAGAGAGGTTTGTGAGCTTAGAGGAGTTACAAAGCTTACTATTGGTGGTAGTTGGAAACTATAGAAGTTTGATATAGAAATCATCTTTGAAGCCAAAGACTTAAGAGAGGTGATTTTTAAAAGTAATATATTAGCAACTACTACAATAGCAAAAAAAAGTAAAAAATATAAATAAATAAATTTAAGAAGGAATAATTGAAAAACAAATAGTCTAGCATTGCACAATGTTAAATAAGTTTAAAGGTATGTTTTTATAAAAACTTTAACTTTGTGATTAGAAACACCTTTTTGGTAATCTTGAACAACTCAAATAAGTTTCTAATTATCTTCAATATACTTTATTAATCTCAAAAAAATTATAAATACATCTTATTAAATTCTAATTAATTCCAAATAAATCTTCAAAAAATCTTTAACAATCATAATTAAATCCTAAAGAAATTCTAATCAAATCAACAAAATCCCAAAGAAGTTTTAACAAATCCAAAGAAATCCTAACAGTTTTTGTTGTAGAATAGGCAAGTTGAAGCAATTAGAGACGCTTCTTAAAAAAAATTGAAAAGTACTTGAAGGCTCCCTGAACTACTTGGTGAGTTGCACAGTGAAGTAAATAAGGAATTCCTGACCGACACCGCTCTAGTTGTGATCACAAGATCGTGCTGCGACAAAGTGGTCTTGTTGGGCAATATGTGACTTAGTGATCACTTAATCAAAAAGTAAACAACCAAGTCACAAAACGTGGTGTGCTGGTTTTACTGGCACCAGACAAGAGGTGGCTTTCCGTGAAGATTTGGATCTGGGAAGTTGACCCACAAAGTCACTCTGCATGAATGGGACCCTTGAGATATGGTGGAGCCCAAGAGGACACTGATAGAGTAGTCTGGATTCTAGGCTCCTCGATGCGTTTACGTGTGCAAGTATTCGTGCTCAGATATACCCTCGGAATTTGTAAGAGTAGGCCTCTCATCGGGTCAGGAGGCTTTCCATTCGGAAGTGTGAAGAGAGCTCGTAGCAATGCGCCAGCCAGCGACTTCGGGTGTGGGAGCTGCTTTTGCAAGGAAGAAGCTGGAGGAGAGTAGCGCAAGTATTCTTCCACTTTGTTGAACAAGCAATGAATTCCACACGACTTTGGGTATGGGTCTAGCTTCTGCATGGAAGAAGCTGGTGAAAAGCAGCGCAGATATGGTTCTATGGATGGCAAGATCAGGAAGGGAAAGCACGGTTGGAATGAACATCAAACTACCTGCAGGGAATGATTTCCGAGTTTGTCAGTGGGTCGGGAATAAGTTGCTTCAGGGAGATGCTGTGAGAGCAAGCGATTCTATTGATTCCACCAGCACCTTACGATTCTACGTTCAGCAGTTTCGTGAATGTGGCCAGAAGACGAGTGGACCACATCTTCAACTACTAGAAATTAGGAGCTTTTGAAAATAAGTGTTTTCTTTATTTTTTTAATCTATGTTTTTTTCTACAGCTGTGCTGAAAGTGTCGATGTCATTGAATGAGATCCTATATCTTCGTCTGTTGAGTGAAATTGGGAGACGTTGATCAGTGACTTTTAGAATTGTTCTAAAACGTACACATTATGACGAAGAAGTTGATCATAGAAATCCTCTTCATGTCACCGGATGGGCAATATAATTTCATTTTCCTCTTTACGAAAAGGTCGTGTGGAACTCATGCCTTGTGAAGCTTGCAGCAAGCTTGATCAACGACCTGAAAAAACTGACACGCTGCAAAGGGAACTGATCTAAATTACATGCATACCAGATGGGGAACTTCACCAACTGCAGAGCTTCGTGCACAGTACATTGGAAACAGTTAATTGAGTGCCATTGCGCGTTCATCTCCACGAACCAAATTTAACATTATGGAAGAGCATCATTCAGGAGCTTCACTTCAGAGGCTGACAAAGATAATGCCAGCACCGAAGACATAAACATGGGTAACTGCTTTAAGAATCTGTTGATGGCGACCAAATTGATATCAGTGGTCAACATAATTTACAAATAGGGAGCAACGATAATCGCAACCACGTTGTTGCCCTGAGGTGAAGAATGTACTAACTCCTACTGAACAATCGTCCAGTAATTTGTACTACATTAACTAAATGCCCGTCCACAAGCTGTTCACAGGAACTCTAGCTAAACAAATGGCTACTCAGAGCCCTGCACATTGTCTCTAACCTCAAAGAAGTTCCAAAGGACCGAACGAGAGAGTCCAGATCAAAATCAGAAAGGCGGCCAAGACCGTTGAGGGAGAGGCCATCCGCAAAGCCTCACTTGTGGGCCACGTATCTGGCATAGCACATTCGTCGCCATTAAACCAGATCTTGGATGGGAAACCATCTTTACCTTTGATATCGATACCTGGAGTGCTCCCCTTGGCGAACGACACAATCGATTGCAACATGGATACCCCAGTTTTAACAGATGGGGAAGTGACTCCTAGCAGGTAGTTGTTGTATCCTGGCGTTCCTTGCACGACGAAGCTTGTGTTGGAGGGCGACGCCAGGATTTGTGTTGCGTTGAAAGTGTAGGCCTTCTCGAACCCTGGCATGGCCTTGGGCATCTCCACCACGGCAAACCAATCGGGATGCGTGTCATTAGACCAGCCGAAGAGTGACATACGCGCGCTCCAGCCTTTAGAGTAATCCGACACGATGTGCCAATGGATGCTGACTCCGCAGTTGTCTAGACAAGGCAGAGGGTTCGGAACTGGAAAATGGTTCATGTTAGCCCACACCACAGCTTTGTCTGTTCGGTTTGCAGGTCTATCTGTCAGTGCACTGTAAGGAAGTAGCATTGCTGGAGTGGTGGTGCTACAGGTGGGCTGAGGCTTTGCAGCGCATCCACACGCGCATGTTGGGCAAGGGATGATTGAATCGTTGAGGTAGGACGAGAACGAGACACAACACTTGGGAGGAGGCTTCGTTGCTCCTGTAGACTTATTACAACTCACCTGCACGACGGAACAATCCGAAGTTTAATCTACAAATCATATGACAAGTAGTTTTCTTGAGATTTTTGCAGATAAGCATGGCACAAGCATTTGATAGTGTAGGAATCAAATTACAGTTGCATAGAAGAAAATCATTCGTTCTGTACCTGCCACGTCTTGAGCGCGTTTTCTGAGTAGTCCAAGCTTGAGTCAGAGAAGAAGAGGCTAGGAGCAATGAGTCGAGGAGCACCGCACGTGTAGACGCCATCCCCAATTCTGAAGTTAGACGGAGGGACCAGGTGCATTGAGTCTCCGGCATAAGGAGGAAGCTTGAAAACATTCATCGTGAAGGCAGATTTAGACTTGGAGGGGTCAATCACGGCTGGTAGAATGGTTCCATTTCTGCAACAGTGCTTGACGTTGCCGACAAGGGTGTCGTTCTGCTTTTCCAAAGGAACATCGGCTATCACTGGGCTAGTTGAGCAGCTTATTGCAGAGTTGATGTCCATAGTCGCGGAAGGAGGGTAATTAGTTCCAGCTTCCCCTGCTACACAGACCTGGGTGTCTGCAACTTTGGGCCTAGCTCCCTGCATAGTGTAGATAAATTCTCCTTCTGTCCAATTCCATTGTAGGTTCCAGTTATCGATCCTTCCATATGGGCTTTCGTTAGAAATAGTCACCTGCAAGATGTCGAAAATCATCATTTAAGAGACGTTCAGAATCACAACTATCAGGCACACAAAACACAAGATCGTTGACTCTGATGGAGGAAGGAAAAAAGATCTCAAGTTAAAAGCAATTACCAGCGCCCTGTAATTACTCGCGTATGCCTGTCGCACATCATAAGTAACTAAGATGTCGCCTGCTATGGGTGGCAGAGGTGTGTCGTCACTAGTAAGCGTTATGGTGCTGTTGGGCTCAACGCAGCAAGTGTGCAACGTTGTAACTGCAAGCACAAACACTTCTTGTCAGCTCAATAGACGATGAAATGTTTTGGGGGACAACTGCTACAAACTATTATTTTGAGTTGGACTATTGCATTATCACTTCTCGTAGTCTTTTTCATGAGTATTGCAGAACACAAACAGATAATGAGCAAGCAGCGAGCTACCTTACCTCCAATCAGTTGGGCCGTGCTGCAATTGTAGCCAGTGCTTGTCAAGTTGAGAGCGCGTGGCATGGGATTTAGCGGCACGCCAAATTCGTCACCTACGATGCTGTAACTCCTCTGAATCTTACCCGGATCTCCAGCGGTTTCTATGGAATTCCTCAGGACTTGAGAGGATGACGGTATCAGAATTACTCCTTGGGAGACATTAGCGGGAAGTGTTCTTCCGTCATCCGGGTACAATCCGGATGCTGACACAAGAACCTGTTCAAGCGCAAGAGAACATATAATTAATTTCTCAGAAACCAAAAAAATTGCTTAACCTTGAATTTGGAAACTTAAAAGGTGGTCTTGAAATGAAAGACCACAGATTGCTCACCTCTCTATGCTGAAACGTGAGTCCCACACCCCAGGTGTCCAGCGTCGAGTAGCCCTTGTTCGTCAAAGTGATGTTGGCCTCAAACCTATACACTTGATTTTCCGGTAGGGTCTCATTGGGATAGATCTGAAGCGCATTACCGATCAACGTGTAGAGAACCTCCACTCCATGGCAAGTAGGCAAGGCTTGTCCGCTGGTAGACACAAAAATTGAGGATATAGAGAGAAAAAACACCACCCAAGCTCCTGTAGAGTTTCCCATAGTTTGCTTGCAATCAAATTGTGCCCGGTGGCCACTTTGTCGCGTACTACAAACGCCCCACGAAACACTAGCAGGGGACAGCCTATCTTACAAAAACTCCGACGAAAGGCAGCTGCACAATTATTCGTCCAAATTGTATTATGTTCCAAGAATTTCTAAGGCTGGGGTAATTCTGCGAGCAGTTGTATCAAGACAAGCCTCACTTCAAATTCGTCGACAGTAGCAATTTTCCTCCGAGGCAAAACCTCCGACCCAACCCTCCGTGCTAAAACCCTGGAGCGCTATCAATTACACCACTACTCCAACCTCCCCGACCGAAACTTCAAAACGAACCGCCACATAAACGAATTGAAGCCAATACCTCAATCTCCTCCACGCAACTTCAAATCAGAGACTCCAACTACAACCTCCTCATCTCCGGAGCAGCGCAAATGAGACCGACGAGCGCGTGACTACCAAATTTTTCATCAAGACCACCGCGTGTGCCTTCTCATTTCAGTGCGTATCACACTAGCTTCTTCACACTGAAGCCCTTCGATACTCTCACGTGAAGGTTTAAATTCATTGCGGAGTAGCTCAGTCAGCATTACTCTCTGCTCCGACCCGCGTAAGCGACGGCGGCGGATGGAGTTGCAGCCAAGGCCAACGTATCGTGCTTGACTACAGCGAACTAAAGATAGTCTAATAAAACAACCTCCAGTTTCTCAACAGACCGTGTTGATTTATACAGTCTTTCGTCACGCCCTCTCTATTCAACTATCCGTCTCCACGACCATTTTCCTGGCAAAATCGCAACGTCACAAAGCCATCACTCGCTCATTGTCGTTGTCGTTGTCGCTGCAGCGTCCTCACGCACTGTGCACATACTGCGAGACAAGGGCTCGCTTGCGGGACCGGGCGACCGGGCCCGCGCCCGCGGCGACGGCACGTCCCGGCCGCTCCCCGGCTCCAACGGATCCATCCAACGGCCATCCATCACGTTCGTCGTGATCCCTTATCGTTGATGAGTTTCATTCATCCATCCCCTCTGCCAGATCATTGGGAGGTATTTCAGGTGGAATTGTCGCATGGATACGACCCCTTTTTTGACCTGTTGAAATTATTTTTGTGGGTGTGCTCTCTCTTCTCTCTCTTCCTTCCTTCTTTCTTCGACCATGCCCCCATAAAAAATTTCTTCTTGCTTAGGGCTTTAACAAGTGGTGGGAAGACTTTGTAAATGGTGTAAGTTGTGTGATGGGTGGATATTCCTTTATTCCCTTTTTAATAAAGATTGAGTGAATGTTGGGGGAGTGTCTTTGAAGATTATGCATTTTTTGCAAATTTTATAAAGTTGTTAAAATTGTTAAAACTTCTGTGTCTAAAATGAGATTAATTGGAATAGTGTGGGAACTACAATGGACTTTCAATGTTTGATTAGCCATCTGTTTCTATTCTCAGCGTTTGCTTCTGAACACAAACGTAAAATATGTAAATAAAGTAAGGTAATGTAAATTACATGTCTCTAAATTAAACCAGGTTTTTTGATGTATAATTCATACTCTTTAGTTTTTTAGGAAGCTAAAGTCAGAATGAGACAGCATATACATCTTGTCGACATTTAGCAAAATATAGCATTTTTTGTAATAAAATTGTTATAAAGAAATTATTATTATAACCATAATAAAATGAATAGGTACATTACTTAATCAAACTTAGCTTGTGGATTTTGAGAACCAACTGATCAACTTGTACACCAAATTTCACAAATTCTTATTTAGAATTACTGTTGTTTTAAACATGTTTTGAATATCCTGGCTGCTCTTTTTATTTTAAAAAATGACAAAATTTAAGAATGAAAGTAACAACAACACTAGCAACCACATTTACCACTTTTGGTAATTCTCATGATCATCCTTGATTGCAAAAACAAATGAATTTATTAGAATAAAAAGGTACAAAAACATAATTACTCTTACTTTTCAAATTATTATATGCTTATACAGACTTAATTAAATTAATTCTGGTGATACAATATGCTCTATGAAAAATTATTTTCCACACAACCTGCTATCAGGATAACATAACTGTACATGAGATAGAATATGCCCGAAAAGAAGTAGCGCCAAAATACATGATTTCCCTCGAGTATAAAGAGGGTTTTAATATTCTTATATTTACTGGATTTGTACTTGTATTGAACCAGTCCTGAAATGGTATTGGCAAAGTATACCAATAATAGAGAAAAAATATTTAATTATTTAATTTTCAATTTTTCAATGAAACATTAAACTTCCACTCGAATGTTTGCTGTGCATGTCCAGTCTTATTTGACACACAGCTCCCTTCCCTTGACTCCTTTCGGGTATTCCACATTATCCTTGTACATAACAGTGTATAGTATTTAGGAGAATAATACTAATAAGGTATCCTTATACTGTTTGTCTCACTCCCTCAAATAGATAATTCCTCAATGACTTCGCCAAAATTGCTGCTTATTCATCCATATCAGCAACATATTCCAAAACTTGACCTCGAAGTTTACAAGATATGTCAAAGTCATCCCCCAAAGAAGGGGAAATGGTTGTTGCTTCTGCAAGTTGTTTAGTGTTATGTTGAATACAAGAATGATGGTGTGTGTAATAGTGGATGTTGAAAGAAGAGGATGCAGTAGAGAAACTACTCTTCAAGGATCAATGTGGTTATATGGAATGCAGGGTCATTGAAATTTTACTCCATAAGCTCACTTGTCCTTTAGAGTTGTTGCAAAGTAGTTGACAATTTGGTAGAGAGTTTGAAGTTTAGTGATGGAGCTTAGAGATTGGCCACTCTCCCCACAAGTTTTATTCCAAAATTTTTATTTTTCTACTCTAACACCAACATATATATATATATATATATATATATATATATAAACTTACACAAAGAGGATTAAAAAATGGTTTTGAGATTTATTTTTGGTATATTTATTGCTTTTCTTAACTTTTCTTTCATCTTTTGTTGACAATAAACACACAAGAATGCAATTCAAATTTAAAATGGAACAAAAAAGCATTGAAATTCCACCCCATTAGCACATATGTCTTAAATTTACTGTAAAGTATTTGATGATTTGGTAGAGAGTTTAAAGTTTTGAAACAGAGCTTAGAGATTGATCTCACAATTCAAATTTTATATTAAAAACATCATTTTTCCACTTTAAATACTGATACATATCTTTTAGTAAAAAGTGTGCACAAGATATTAAAAGTAATTTGGAATTTTTCATAATGCTTAACTCCATTCTTATCCTTTGTTAACAACTGATTGTTGACTACAAACACATTTGGATAAATTTTAAAATGCTTAAAAAAGGTATTAGTATTCTTTCTAACTAGAATTTGGCTTACATTTCTTGCAAAATATTTGTTTAGAATTTGATAGAAGGTTTGAAGTTTTTAAATAGAACTTATAAATTGATCTTTTCCTCCATTTCACAAGTTTTCTTGCATAAATATCATTTTCCACCTGGAACACCATGATAAGCCCTTCAATTAAAATAATCATAAAAAACTAGTTTTTTCTATAAAACATTACTGTTATTATGATTATTATTATTATTTGACTCTATTCTCATCCTTTGTACCTTCTAATACTTGCCTATATACATATTTCGCTGTATTTTAAACATGATTATTTTTTATTGAACAAATTTATCTTTAATGTATTAAAAAGTCATTGTTTCAGTTTGGGATGTTTAAAATCTAATTTCTATATTAATTCATTTATTCAATCATATGATATTCTACGTTGAATTTTGCAATGTACAAAAAATATTATGTTGTAATTTTAAAGAGACCTCTTTACATGTTGTTTTAAAACATCATTGTTTTTAAAAACACATGTAAAAACTGCATTAAACTACACCAACTTAAAAATCAATTCAGTTGACAATTATATTGATTATTTACTCAAAAATTAATAAATAGGTATTTTATAAAATTTACTAAAATATAGTTATAACGATTAGTTTTAATTTTAATTTTAATATTATTATATTCACTTTAAATCAATAAAAGCTATTTTTATACACACTTATTTTAATATATATATATATATATATGATATTTTATTTATTTATAATTTTTTTAATAATTTTCATATCTCAATATATTTATATATATGTATATTTATGAAGAAAAATAAATCTAAAAAATTATAAATGATTGAAGTTTATTTTTGGCATGAAAATAATTTGATGTTTTTAAACTATTAGAAAAATCTTTATACATATATTTTTCAATGTATGGTTTATTCAAAAAAACACTATTGTTTTTAATTCTCATAAATATAGTTTTTAAAACTAAGTTTATGCAATCTTAAGTATATTTGTGATATAATATTATTTTGTTTTGAATTTGATTTTTTATCTTAATTTTAAAATTATGTATTTAAATATATGAAAAATTCTTATTATCAATATCACATAAAGTTTTAGTAGTACAATATTATTAAGATTTCAAATAAAAAATATTCTTCATTGTTTTTGATATTTAAATTTTTTATTTCTATTTTAAAATGATATTATGTAATAAAAAAATTAATATAGAATTTAATATTTTCATCTGATTTTAGTGACTACTGCAACAAAATGCAATATTTTTTGTGTAGTCTTTACTGATAAGTCATGAATTTTTTAAAACTACACAAAAAACATAAATAATTAAAAGCACTTAATTCTTTCATTGGATTATTTTATTTTATTTTATTAATTTTATAAAAATATTAAAAAAGAAATTTCACTTATTATTTGTCATTGTAATAGAATAAGTCTCTACTATTAAAGAAATAAATGGAATAAAGTTTTTGTTACTGTGTAATACATTAGGATTTGCTGTATATGTATCTTTTTAATTTTGTGTAAATCGTCTAATATAGAAACATTTTAAGCTATTATACTTTGAAATCTTAGAGTATCATTAAATTACATTATGATCTTTATTAAATATTATAAAGTATTATTTAGTTGAATCTTGACATGCATGTAAAAACATTTGTACTACAAATATTACAAAACGTTTATAAGTAAAGTCCTTAGAATGTTTGGAATTTTCTCAAAATGTATAAGCTATTGAATAGAAGAATCTAAAATTTTGTTTGAAATTTTCTTAAAATTTTAAACTGTTTTTATTTTTATAATTATAAGTGTAGGTTCTAAATATATTACATAGAAATATACTCAATAAAGATGTTTTTACTTTAAATAAAATTAAAATATAGATAATACCTAGGATGGCTGATTTGCATTGTAATAGTACTATTTTAGAAAGTTACTTAAATCATATGTAACTTTATCTGTATATAAATGCATAGGAGGTATTCCTAATTGATAAAATATTTTTTAAAAAATTTGTTATATACTTCATATGAAGGACATAAATTTATACAACTCTTCAAAAGAAATATATTCATGTACAACTAAAAAGGAAAAAAAGATAACTATGAATTTGTATATATATATATATATATATATATATAAATATAATAAGAAAATACAAGAATAATTTTTTCCAAATACAAAGAAATAGAAAGTTTAGAACCAAGTCTAAAATATAAGAAAAAGCTTCAATATAGCTTTTATATGAACAATCTATTAAAGAAAAACCATGTACATATGGGCAAGTCACAAGTTGTTTTCACAATAACTTTTCAAAGACATGAAACTTTTAAAAGAAATTTTTGTAGTCACATGACATGTTTTAAAATTGACAAATCCAATTTATATTGACATATTTTTTTGTGTTTGAGTATATATATATATATATATATATATGCATATATCGAACATATTTATATGTACATTTATTTATTTCTATTTACTTTGGTAGTGTGTGTTCGTTATATTACCTTCCCTGCATGTACAGCTGTACTGAAACTGGACAGTGAAGTAAAAACCAATTATGACTAAACAGGATACATTTAGTACTCGCATGGATACTTTCGAAGTGTTGAATAGTGGGATTAACCACGATTCATCGTTACCATGGGCACCATAAAGAAAATTTTCAGAATATGATCAGTTTGTCGGAAACCAACTGCCCATTTGAATTGTGATCAAGGTGTGCTTCAAAACATGAACTGTCTATGGATCAATTTTTTGGAACGAATCTCAAATTTGCTGAGTGAAAAGATGCACGCAGTCCCAAGCATACTAGCAACTTAGCCAATGCTTAAAAGTGGCACAAGATGGAGCTTTCCAGACCTAAAGACGTTGCTACATGAAAAATTTCCAGCTACCACAATTACCAGAACTACCCAATTCCATTCTGCAAAACAGGTGAAGTTTACCGAAGGATTAGGCAATGCAGAGATGCATCAATAGTTCCTACAGGAATAGAATTTGTGTAAACCTTGAGGTTGCATAGCAGCCAGCATTGACTCTGTAAGACTCGCAAAAGATGATAACAGCTGTTATGATTTGACTGATTGTGTAGACAATAATCCTAGTCCTCCGCACAGTAGCAATTGCACAATGAAGAGAATAAACCATACCAAAGGTTGACAGAACTTACAGAGGGCGTACATTGTTGTGTTTCGTTTGTGTCTATATTATGCAAAAATTAATGCTGTCACCCACCAACCACCTTGTTTCTGTACATAATCTTAAGCATTGAAATCTTAGAATTGGCATTCCCTATGAGTGCCTAATGGTTCACAAAACAGTAGGTGAGAGGCATTGAAATATGATGCAGACTTGGAGTTGTCAGACAGTAGAACCAACAGCAAAAAGCCAAAAACTTATCCGTAATAAGAGAGTGTGCAACTTGGAAAGGACCTGGTGCGGCTGGACGTAGCCAAGTTCGGCAGCGTTGCAATTAAATACTTACCACGCTCATTCTGCTGCAATGAAACTGAGCACAACTTCCAAACACACCTAATCAAACAACCCTCTACATTAGGACAATCACATTAGTGGACTCATTCGTGACGGAATATTCAACAATTACGAGGTTGAAGACTACATCATGGCCAATGCACATTGTGACTGAACGATGAAAACATTTCTCTTACGGTTACACTAGCCCCTTGCCAATGGACTTCTGCAACCCTGATTAAAAGAAAACTGCTAGAATAAGAAACATAGTTACAGAAACCCAAATCACTAGAGCCGGTAAATAAAAACTGAACAATCCAATGATATGGGTAAGGAATTGCAGGATTCGAAGCTTTCCCCGAGTGGTGCTCAAAATTGCTAGTGTCGGAGAAGAAAAGGATGTTACAAGCCTGTAACAAGCTAAGCTCCAGTCACAATCGCTATCTTTCAAGGCCCTTCCGCGTGCCCTCCGCCTCAGTCTGTTTCCTCTCTGACCGTTGAGTCACTGAAATCTTCTCAACCAGGAAGATAGAGGAAAATATATGGCAGGTAAACATGTAAAGAGGACCATAGCACTCTTCACATTAGGACAAAAGAAAGGAAGATCTTGGCACGAGAAGCATGAGATGGTCAAACATACCGCGTGGGATATCAAATTCGTACACAACCTAACCTTGAAAATTAGTTGATCCATCACATGAGGCAAAGTGGTGGATTCACAAAATTGTAAGGCACTGTCTGCATTCATTGTCTCCCTATAACAGGAAGCTTGAACCGAGCCCAGAGGCTCTGCTTGCCAAGCGCAAGGAGAAGGCAAATTGCGAAACAGATGCCGTGGAATACGATGATGAACAAGTACCAAGCGGGAGCATATGGAGTGTCCACGTTCAAGAATGCATATGGCCATCTATGGCCGAGTCCTGTAAAATGAAGAGTAAATTGGAAAACAGCATATGCAGCGCTCCAGAGGATAAGATAGCTGATGCGGAACCATGGGAAACGGAGACTATTCAGAGAGAATTCAACGAGTAGGAGGACGAGGTTCACTGCGTGCATGTTGATGTCGATGAAGCTATGGTGAGAATTGGGCCGGACCAAGATCACCCAATACACGAGGTCGGTTAACATTGCCGCAGGTAAGAGCGCTTGGAACACACATTGTGTGACGTAACCTCCAATGCCTGCATCTTCTAGCTTCTCCTCCCCTCTTGCAAATGGTAGTGGCGGTCCAGCCTCGTAATCGAAGCTTTTGACTCCATCTGATGTTTCTTGGTGAGTGTGTAAAAGGATGTCATGGTCAGTGGACTTGGGCGGTGGGATGCGATTCACGGAGACCATGGTGCGCTCCTCGAGGAAATGCAAAAGGCTTAGTCGAAATGAAAGTGCGAAGTAGATGATGAGCAGGGTGAATGTCCATTGTGTGTAGAAGAAATACACTCCGAAGCCGTCTGTGATGATGTTATAGAGAAGCAGAGCGAGGAGATATACAAAGCAGATAGCTCGAAAGTGATGCAACCACCTGGGGTTCAAAGCGCCACCGCAGGAGCTCCACAGCTCCTCTCGGCTCAAATATCCGATGGGTACGATTCCGATCAGGCTCGGATCGGTTTGCTCTTCACACGGAACCGCTGCTTTAGCGCCTTCGTATTTCCACAACAGGAAAACAGCTCCGACTGTGAAAAACGCAACGAAGCTAACGCAAATTGCGAATGGCCAATGATACTCCATGACGCTACCGTTCCCGAAACACAAAACTCTCCAGAAACACAAACCTCAAGAATATGAAATAATAATAAAAAAACCCCTCGCAAAATTAGCCACCAGATCGTGTACACGACATCGCCGAACTCCGAGAAGCAGAGCATAAACAACTCATCAAGGAGCACGTCGCATGTCCACACCAAACCTCCATCAACTCCGAAATTTCGAAAAATACCAATTCATTAGGGGAAATAAGGGGACCGAGTTCCCACAATTGTGTGTCACACACTAAATTTCCCAACCCAAGGAACACAATCAACGGTGTTTGAGTACCTGAAGCTCCATTCTACGCACTACACAGCTCCAGAGCAACTGGAACACCAATGCTGCACCTCCTACTCCAGCTTGAATATCAGAAGTAGCGCAGCGACACAGAGCAATCATTCGGCAAACTCAGTGTCACGATCCGTAGCGCCATTATCACCTTGAGTAAGGAAAACCTGGACACTGTTGCTTGGTTCCGCGACGCCATTCCACCGGCAATGCGAGCCCCAACGACGACGAAGAAGTCAGGTACCTTCGTCTGGATATTAAACCCACATTGACCTAAGATGTAAAAACAATAGTAATTCATGATAACCCGGAAATTGCAGCTACTGATGACTTCTCATATCTACGAGCTTCGCGAGAGTTTCTTTGTTGTGAGGTTGTGCGTCAGAGGAGCTTTAGGGATTTTTCTGATTTCGCTTGTCAGGTTAGCGAAGAGAATTATCAACCTGACAAGAGAATTCAGAAAATTTCAGTTTCAATTGTGAATCCCTTCGCTAGCCAGTGTAGGGGGGGGGATGAAAGTGGCTTATTTATTACCAATAATGTCGTGTACAATTTTTGAAAGTGTTTGATTGAAAATGGAATGACTCATTTAAAACACTTTGATGGAGTCACTTGATTGGGCCTGGTATTTCCAAGCTGTAAGCTTCTTTTCAGAGTAGAGAATGAAATAAATGCAGGCGATGGTTGTGCTTCAGTTGTGTTTTGCTTTATCATGAGTTTTGGAATTTTGATACTTGATGTTGATTTTTTTGCATGATTTGGCTCAGTTAAGTCCGTACATCTCATTTACTCATAAACTAAAATCCATTCTACTTTTAAAATAACAGTCACCAGAACAAACTAGGATAATGGTTTTGGACGCAACGAGCAAAGCATAGATTGCAAATTATGGGTATTTTGTTGTGTTCACAACGTGATTTTTTTTTTATGCCATCACCAACATTCTGTAAAATCATGGGCTTCATCACTAAAAGAAAACCAACAAATTTGTAACCCACAATCCAAAACGATGCCATGTTTGTAATCCACAATCAAAATCTATGGGTTACGCAAGGCAAATTCAGTAGGGTCACGATGGAGTGATTAAAAGAGATTCAATGGAAGAGAGGCTTCTGCTATTGTGTCTATGGATTTTAGGGTTACCACCAAAGCAGAAGCGGAATATCAACAATTGGTTCCATCGACGACGCTGTCGCGTGGGCGCTGTGTGTGGCAGTCCTTCCTGCGCGTTACGCCCTCAGAAGCGCCAGCAATGGGTAAAGCCAACGAGTAATAGATGGCAGAAACCTTGAAGCGGAAGCATAGAACTGTAATTCTGTACCAGTGCATCTTGCTTTAATGAACCCTGACTCTCAACCTTAGTGTCGAACATCTGTAGACATAAACCCCCACCCTAGCTGAAAAAAAAAAAAAAAATCGCCACTTTCTCCAGTGGCGATTGGCCCAGTTCACTAAAGATTTTGAGAAATTCCCTGAAGCCCCTGCACTTCATACGTCAACTGACGCCTCTGGTCAGTTCGCTCATTCAGGTACGATCATCCGAATGATAAAGTAGTTCTAAGGGCTGGCGCTTTCGGCGGTGTCTGGCAGATAGTTTTGGAAGAAGAGAAAGAATCCTGTCACAGAACGAGAAAGCAACGCACCTCGAAACTCCAACGCACACGTATGTAAGTTACATAAATTTATGTAGATTGAGGTTGCGTGCTCACTCGGTCTCTCAAATTTCCAAGGGAAGGCTGCGATATACAGAGATAGTTCAGAAAACAATCCTCTGCGAGTTGATTCAAAGGTTTCTACGTTGTGGCTTCCTGGCCATGAACAAGAAAAATTGCATGGTTGCAGAGCTGCAGGTGGTCACCTGAGGGATGTTTACCTTCGTTAGCGAAATAAACAGATATATATATAAATGTTTCTTCGTCATCCTTCTAAGTGTGTGTCACTGACAGATTCTCTTGACTGTAAAAGATCTTTGCCTTGCAAGATTTCGAAGTTGGTGTTTCGGAGATGCTATCAGACCAGCGCAAGGGATGGGGATTGAGCTCCAGAACAGCATCGAACATGCCACCTCCACCACAACCGAAGCAGGATCTCCACCGAATTCCCTCTTCATTCCACAACACATCCACTCGCACCTCACCGACATTGTGCGACGCTTGCATTTTGCTCAAAACATGTCCACGAAGGTTAGAATCACGTTTCTTCTTTTTCTATTTTGATGCTAAGAAAGCTTCGTCCAATGGCTCAACGTTATGCAAGTCACAACCTGAGTTTAGCTATTCAAAATTTGGCTAGAGTTTATGCATTATTATGATTATTTTTTAGTTAATGGTAATAGGATAGATGATTAATAGTATTAGTTATTGTAATTGGCTTCTTTTAGTTATTAGAAGTAATTTTGGTTATCTTTTGGAAATTAAAAAATATTTTGTTACCTTCATCATACTTTATACTTTTTATTATCTTTGATTTGAATTTCATGTTATTCTACTTTATATCTTTTCATCTATTTAGCTTAAGGAATCAACAAAAAATAAATCCAAATAGTAGCTTTATAATTGCTAAATATTTAATAATTATTATTTTATTTGATCTAAATTTCTTTATTTATAGTAATATTATAAGTATATCTTAAAATTAAAAATATGTTATTGTAAATATAAAAAGTGTATATAAATATAGGTTATTGTCAAGTAATTGTTTTAAATATGTTATTAATATTTAATCATTTTAATAATAATTAATAAATAAAATGATGATTGTTTAGAATGAAAATATTGTTTATTTTAATAAGGTCTAAGATTTTGGGATTATAAATAGATATGAATGTGTTTGTTTATAAAATATTATATTACAATTAATCATTTATTTATACAAATAATTGTCATAATTGATATTATTTAAGAAAGCAAAATAACTACAAGAGATTATTTATTAATTTATTAATAATAAGATATCAACTTGGTGTTAAAGACATAACTCACAAAGAACTAAAATGTCAATATATTCTTATGTTACTATAAAAGAATAGGTATTTATTCAAAGATAATATGATATTATAACTAGAATAGTTATTGCTAAGATTAAAAAAAAACTAGAGACTCTTGAAACAAGATTAAGAATAAGAAAGACATTAACAAGAGTGATAAAGATCTTACTCTTGCTTCCATATATACTATCTAACTAGGAGTTTCATAGCAATGTGTTGTAGAACCTCAAATACATGTCTAATTTGTGAGACACATATCTAACTTGTAAGAGAACTTTCTTATATGTGCACCATATGGCCAACTTGTACTACAAATGGTTAATATGTACAATGTGTAGTCAACTTTTTGACCAAGTTTTTAATCTATTAATTACCAATAGATACATATAAAGATAAATTTATATCTATGAATTTTTTTAAAACTTTTTTTATAAAATATTAAAAAAATATAATCTTTTGATCCATGATAGTTTGAAATTCTTTAGAATCTATCATAAGGCTTTCATTAGAAATGATGTAACTTAAGAATTCAACTTGAGTTGTCTAAAATATACACTTTTCTACCTTAACATATAATATTATATTTTTAAGTTTTTATAAGATATAATAAATATATAGTTGATATTTTTTTTGTTCTTGGAATAAATTAAAATATCATTAAGATAACAAGTAACAAATTCATCTAAAAACTCTCAAAAAAAATCATTCATTAGATATTTGAAAGTTAGCTAATATATTATAAATGCCAAAAGCATGACATTATATTTAAAATGTCCATACTTAGTTCAAAATATAGTCTTCTATTCATTTCTTTTTTTAATGACTACTAGATTCTATGTTTTTTATAAAACTATTATAGTATAGATATTTTCTTGATTTAATTGATCAATAAATTATAATATCAAAGATAGATAGTACTTGTTTTAGATGGTAATCTTATTAAATCCTTAATAATCTACATATATTTGTAGTCATTTTTTTTTTAAAATAACAATATAGGTACTTTTTTTGGAAATTTTGAATGGCATTTAAAGTTCTTAGCCAAATTTTCATATATATATATATATATATATATATATATATATATATATATATATATATATATATATCTTAAATGCAACTAACATAATTTGTAATAAGTTCTAGATTGGTCCAAATAGTAGTTGAGTTCTTTTTTGAAGATCAATTGAGCAATCACAAGGATGATGTTTTAAAAGAATCTCCTCAATCTTCATTTTAAATATGTCTTGATAATCTTGATATTACCTTGAAATGTTTTTTGAAGTCTTTTTTCATTAGAAGTAGGCGTAACATAAATAATAAAAGGTATTTTTATTTATTATTTATTATTTATTTGTTTTAAAACATACATGAAAGCTCTTACACTTATAAATAAGAATTTAGTTATATTAGACTTATGACTTTTCACTTAGTTAGCAATAGTCTTGGTTATGATATGAAAAAAATCAAGATTACAAGAAATCTAATTTATTTGAAGGTTATATTTTATTAGCTACAATAAATCTAAAATGATTGATTTGAAGGGAGATTTAATAACATTAAATATTACTAAGATATCATGACCATTTTTTTCTACTAATACATAAATAGTTTTATGGATAACAACTTGAAAAGACAAAAGCTAACCATCTATCAAGTACTTGAATCTTGAAGAAAGAAAATCTTAATATACTCTTAAGTCACTCAAAAAGACAAAAAAATCACTTGAATTTGATATAATATTATATTAGAATGGCTATTGCCAAAGACAAGCAGAATTAAAAAATCTTGAGAAAAGACTAAGGACTAAAAAGGCGTTGATAAGAGTAAAGAAGGCTTCACTCTTGCCTCCATGTATACTCTTAACTAGGAGCTATGTCACAGTGTCATACAAGACATCCAAAACTTGTTGACTTTGCAAGATACATATATTAAATTACAAGACAAGTTTTTTTATATGTGTACCATATAATTAGCTTGTTCTACGAGCTATCAATACATGATTCATTTATTGATTAAATTTCAATGTATCAATCAAATACAAATACATGTAAAGTCAAAGTAGCATCTATGAAGCTTCTATGAAGCTTTTTTGAAAATATTATGAAATAAATATATTTTTATCTATTTTTATTTAATCGTATAGATAAATATTAATATATATATAAATATTAATATATATATAAATATATATATATATATATATATATATATATATATATTCATGATATTATTCCCTCTTTTAGAGATAAGCTCTATGGAAAGTAGTCATCATATGTTGATGAAATCCAAGATGCAATGAATTGTATTTACCACTTACTATTATCTTTGTTTTCTTTAAAGATGGTTGACAAGTTTTCTCAACCATCAATAGTGTCTTATACAAGGGCAAGAAGACCACTCTATTAT